CGGCGGGGGGGGGGGATCAAGAGGTCATCGCCATGACCAGCGGCACAGACAGCCGCTGGTCGCGAGACAATGCGAAACAAGTACACAAGGGGTCTGAACTGAGCGGGCATTGGGGGATGTATAAAGTCTGGAGATCCTGACCGGACTCGTCCAGATTTCCTCACGACAATTCTACCACATCACATCGATCACTGCAGCTCAACCCACTCCTCCATTACCATACTCCATCATCAACTCTACCGACCTATTCTAACACGCCTTGGTATCACCGTTTCTCACGATGGCGGAAGAACCAAATCCTTATAAATTTATCTTACTCGGTATAGGCGGCTTCATTCTCCTGTTCATCGGCTTCATTGCCATCTCTTACGTGCTCTCGAAAGTTCAGGACAAACTTTACGATAGGAAGAAGGAGAAGGAGGAGAAGACGAAGGAGGATGAGGCTAAGCAGCAAGCCTAGTTCCAACCGTAGACGCCCGTCTCCGGCTTGTCAAAGCCGGCGACATACACACCAAGCCGGGTCCAGCGGAGACGGCGCAAGACTAGGGCTGGCTCTGCGCATAGCGTCTATCAGTGATCCTGTTATACTACGATCACTTTTATTGAGCGTCTTATTCTTTTCTTTTCCTTATGCTTTTTGCTTCCCTCTGTGTCTTTTTGCCTTTCGCGCTGGTGTCGGGCCAACACCGAGCGAGGGCAACTGAGGGCCTGTGCAGGAGGGATCCCGGATATAAGCGCTGTCCACTTACACGATATTCCGGTGGTTAAACGATTGGGATATGAAGCTTTCAAGATTATTGTATATATTAAAAGATGAGAACTAATAGCAGACGCGCACTTGGCTGCGCACGAGCATTACTACTGCATATACAATGATAGGGCCAAAGACAGTTAGCTATGTAGGTGACTGTGAATCACAACACCATTGGACAACATTGAGGAGTACTCATGCATCGAACCAAAGGACTATAGAACCACTCATTCTCTTCGCACGAAAGTCTTCTGTAAACTGCGCTCCCACAGCCGGACAGTGTGGCCAATAACGCCGTCCGGTCAATGACGACCCAGGATCCCATCCCGATGCCATGTACATGCCCTCCATCACCCAGTAAGCCGTCTGCCGAGTGGACATCTGCCGAGAGGACATGTAGCGCCCGGTCCAGCCTCGGTGGTCTGTGGGCTGCTGCTCTCCACGGTTGTCGATGGCATCGAACCAGCGAGAAACCTCGCTCGAAGCGCCGGGCACAACCTTGCGGTGGCGCAAGCGATACGGGAGACAAGAGCAAGCGCCCATGGCCACGAGCGTCAAAGAGAGTTGTTGGATGTGAAAGGGAATGGAAAGAGGGACAGAGTGCTCCCAGCTGCCATGATATATAATAACCGCATGTCTGCCACTTCCGGGGTCGTCCTGGTTTCTTCACAACAACTCTGCAACAGCACAACCGACACTCTACAACACCACAACACGTGTTGTCACAACCCATTATCATAGCCAATCTTGATCTTGATCCTTCAATACCACATCCTCACCGCAGCTCTCCCATCCCTGTTCGGACACGCCTTGACATCAACGCTCCTCATGGAGAGCAAATGGATTTTAGTTGCCCTCCCCTTCGTCCTCTTTGGCGGCATAGGCCTCGCGTGGGTGTGCATCAAAGATCGTAAGGGCAAGGCTCCTAAAGACGCTGAGCAGTAGGCTGAGCTCCCGCTGCCGCCCGTCTCCGGCCTGTTGTAGCCGCTGACATACACACCGCACTTGCAGCAGAACAACAGTCAAGGGAGGGGGAGCCCGGCCCGGGGGTGACGGCGCAAGGCTATAGCACCCATCGATGGCCTGTCGTCCGGACGAGGGCAGCCGTACGCATAGCGTCTATTCAGTGGTTCTGCTGCAACTTTGACATGGAGTCTTTTTTTTTTTCTTTCATGTGTATTTTCGTTGACTTCTGTCTCTCTTGAGGGGCTGTGCGGGCGGGGAGGCCGGTCGAGATCATCGCCGTAAGCGCTGTCTATTTACAAAATATCTCGGTAGTTGAACGATTGGTTTACAGAGTTTTGAGAATTGCTGCAGAGATTGAAAGATGCGGGAACTGATAGCAGATACAGAGTTGGCTGTGCTCTCTTGGCACGAGCATCGCCACCTCGATACACAACGGTGGGGGATAAGGGAGTTCCATAGCTGCGAGGGTCTAGATGACAACATACAATTGGACAACATTGAAGATAGCCACGTATAGCGATCAAGGACTGACTAACAAGAGCCACTCGTTCTTTTCCACGAGAATCCCCCATGAACTGCGCTCACTCACACCCCGGCTAGCTCGTCCGTAGGTCCGCCACGAAGCCTGTAAGCCGGACGGTGCGACCAATGACGACTCCCCCGCGATCCCATCCCGATGCTACATACCCTCCACCAACAAAACATGCCGTCTGCCGAGTGGGCATGTACAGCCCAGCCTCAACGGTTCGGCTCATCATTTCCGGGGCGGGCGTTGTGGCTGTGAACTGAGGTTCTCCATAGCTGTCGATGGCATAGACCAGCGACAGCCTCGCTCGAAGCGCCTGCTGCAACCGTGCGGCGCAAGCAATACAGGGGGAAAGAGCAAGAGGAGCCTATCATCGCGAAAAGCGTTTAGGAGAGTTTTTAGATGTGAGACGATACGAAGGAGAGTGAGAGTGGTCAAGTCGAGCTGGCATGAGAGATGTAATACCCGCACGTCTGCCGATCCTGGGTTCTTCGCAACACTCTACAGCATCTCAACTCTGACCCAACTGTCACGGCTAATCTTGATCTCTGAATACCATATTCGCGTCGAAAGCCCTGTCCCGACACGCCTTGACATCACCCCGCTCATCATGCTAGGCAAGCTCTTGGTCCTCCCCGTCGTTCTCGGCGGTGGCATGCTCCTCATCATCGTCGCGCTGTGGTATGTCAAGGGCCGCAAGAACAACGAGGCCCCCAAAGACATCGAGCAGCAGGCCTGGTTCCCGCCACCGCCGCCGCCGCCGGTCTACGGCCCGCCTCAGGCTCCGGTCTACGCGCCAAGTGCGGTGCGGCAGAGCCAGTACCGCGGCGGCCCTACCAAGCCGGCCCCTACGCAAGGCTGCCACTAGCCTTGCGTAGAGTATCCCATTCAGTCATTTCTGTTTGTGTTTCAGAGCGTTGGATTCTTGGTCATGTGTTTGAACTTTTGTTTATATTTGTTACGTTGAATGTCGAGTGGTTGCGGACCTAGCACGTGGTCCAAGGAAGCTTCGGTGAAGATTGTTCTACTTTAGTGCGTGCTTTTATCCGAAACCTGCAATACCTCTCGATTTGATCTAACCACATTTGCTTATATTAGCTTCTTTTAATCTTGTTTCCTTTCCCTTTTGTGTGACGGCGCGCGGAAACCCGACGGCAAGGGGCTGTGCCAGTCAAAAGTGTACGTCTGCGCCGTTTTCCCGCCCATCATCAAGTTTCCTGACGTCAGAGTCTTAACAGACTATAGCATGCATTGGTGTACAGAAGTCTTGGCATTCTTTCAAAGTAGGATGTGCTCTCTCCGGTGCTGACATCGCCCAATGCATGCTGCTGACGTAGAACAAGGTAAACTGCGAGCGCCTGGACAAGCCCGCCCACTTTGGCAACAAGTCACGCATGTATGAAACGCCACACACGACATAAGTCTCTTGAGCCTTTTATGTATACTGTCCCTCTCCTAGGTAATAATAAACCTACTCGTACTCCCTCCATCAGCCCAGGGGCTTGCAATCTCTGCTCAAAGCGCCTGGTGCAACCCTTGAGCGCTGTCGCAAAGCCAGCGGATCACCATGAGAAGCATCAAAGAGGAGAAACGCCTTCTGACCGTGACACTTGTACGAGAAAACGGCAATCTTTGACGTTGGAGCATGTCTGAGGGGACATGATGAATGTATACCTGTCCACCGGTCTTGGCACGGAAAAAGCGCCAGCACCATTGTACGACATCACCCAACTCACCACCCATTTTCTTCTACGGAGAATAATGCATCCAGCGCCAGGCTCCGTGGCGTCTCGAAGCGATGCGCTCTCGAGGTCGCTCCCTCGGATATATCTGGGTCCTGCGCTCAACAAGTCGATTGGGGAGGCACACCCTGGAGACTGGCTGAGGATACTCCTCTTCAGCATTGTGGGCGGCTTCCTTACCTTCGCTATTGCCGTTATCATCTGGAAAATTTACAAAACGAAACGGAGCGGGAACACATCGCCGACGGGTGCGGCGCGGACCGAGAACCCATCCCCGCAGCGGCCCGTCTCGGAGGCGCCGCCTCCACCCTACACGGAGACGGACCCGTCATGGGAGCCTGCTAAGCCGGCCCCGGTGGTGACGGCGATAAAGGCCGACACTAGACGGGTTATGTGTCTATTCGGTCGTATTTTTACAAGGCAGGAATCTTTTTGTCATTTGTGCTATGTTCGGGGACCATTCTTTAGGTGGTGTGTCAAAGGGAGCGGATCGCTATAGAAAGCCGTCATGACGAAGGAGAAGACGCGGCAGAAGATGGAATAAATACTCAAGAAAAATTAAATTTTAGTATTTTTTAGCCAAACTCTTGGTCATGCGGTAGCGGGAGAGTTAACCATGTCTACGAAGGGCGAGGCAGCCGAGTGCCTTTTGTTCCCACGAGAGAAGCCTACTCCCATTGTTGACTGGAGGGCTTCGACAGAGGCACAACCCGGAACAGATAGATGTTCCACCGTAACCGCAGTAGTCGTCTTCAATGAAACATGCCCTTGTATCATGTTACTATGCCTATTCTTTATCACGGCGACATGCTGTATACTCAAAGCGAGCGCCGGTGTAACCCTTGAGCGTGGACGTAGAGCGGGCGGTGCACCGGGCGAGCGAATCGCTATAAACAGCATTCAAAAGAAGCAGAAATTACTACAATGTAGTTGCAATGCAAAGAAAGATGAGAAAAACGTTACACGGTTACGAGTTATGACGAAAATACAAGAGAATTTAACAAGTCACACGGCATGAGGGCATGGATGAAGGGAATGTATATAATGGCCGCTCGTCTCCTGCTACCAACGTTCTCCTTCTTACCCTCCTTACCCTCCCTACCCTTCCTACCCTTCTTGCTATTCTTTTCCTTCTTGCCCTTATTACCGATAAATTATCCCTCCAACGCCACAATCTGCCCATCACCCTGTTCTCCTCGACACCTCGATCCCCCATTTCGCGATGGACGACACCGCGGTGGCGGTCTTCCTTGTGGTTCTCGCTTGGGTTTCCGGGTTCGTAACCGGCTACATTATCCTCGAATGGGTCAAAGCCAGCGAGCCTAGCGAGTCTAGCGAACCCCGCGGACACGAGACGAAAGGCCATGCATCTGACCGCAAGGTGCATTCCATGGACGACGGCCACCTCGTCTGGTTATTCGGATTTTTTCTTCTTTTGGGCTAGAGCGAAGGAATATCTTCTCTCATTTATTTTAGCGTCACTCTTTTTGTAATTTCTTTTTTCCTTTTTCCTTCTTTTACTCCATTTTAGTCTGTCCTGGCAGCAATGGCCGATCGACCCGGACCCAGTCCGTCCCGTCCCGTCCAGCATACGGATGCAAACATGTCGATCGGAGAAGTTGCCTTGGAAATTGACAATAAACACACCCCACACTCGTTTAAAAAGATTCATGTTCCCGTTTTCCGTGTGCTTCCATGTGCGTCGTTCCCCCTTCCACCCCCCCTGTCTATATCTCATTACAACGTGGCTGCACACACCCCCTCCCTCCCACATGTGAAGTGACAGAACTGGTCACACCCACCCCAGCGAGGTAAAAGTAAAAGGAATTGGGAAGGGAAAAAAAAAAAAAAAAGCAAAACAGCCCTGCAAAGGCCCTTCAAGAGACGACATCGGGTAAGGGACAGTGAGAGGAATGCATGCTGCCACTGTATGCATGCATGGTGAGGTTGCACAAGGGAGGAAGAGAAGAGGAAGGCGGAGGCAGCGGGAGAAGTGTGAAAAAAGGCCTCCTCCTCACTTTTCATCGTACTCCTTTTCATGAGAGAAAAGCTTCCTCTTCCTTTGGGAGACTTGCTTTCCTATGGGGTCTGAAAGACTTGGCTCTGCTCTCAGAGACTGTCGTCCTCGTCCTCGTCCTCGTCCTCCTCGTCCTCCTCGTCCTTGTCCTCCTCCTCCTACACAGACAAGCCCCCTTCCCTCCATGGACTCGGAGTGGGAATTCTACTCCATGAGGGAGCGCTGGGGTGACATCGCCGGCGTCCGCATGTTCCTCTACACGCACGTCCTCTACCTCCGCAACAAGACCGAGCTGTGGACCGCCCGCGTCGCCGGCCGCTACGCCTCCCCCGTCGCCCTTCCCGCCCGCGACGCCTTTGTCCTGCAAGAAGTCGACCTCCTCCCCCTCCCCCCCTTCCCCCAACCTCCACGTCAAGCGCGTCCGCGTCGCCGACTACGACGGCACCCCGACCCTCGGCCAGTACCTCCTCCACGAGGCGCGCATCGCCCAGCGCCTCCCGCACCACCCCAACCTCGCCCGCTTCCGCGGCTGCCTCCTCGACGGCGGCCAGATCACCGGCCTGTGCTTCGACCGGTGCGCGGAGACGCTGACGGAGCGCATGCGCAGGCGAGGCCCGGTGGACGTGGCCTCGACCATGGCGCAGCTGGGCGCGGCCGTGGCGCACCTCCACGCGCAAGACATTGTGCACAACGACGTGTGCGAGGACAACGTCATGTTCGCGGACAGGGACGGCGGGCACGTGGTGCTGGTGGACTTTGACTCGTGCGCGGCGAGGGGGGGCGGGCTGCCGAGGAAGAGGGGCCCGACGGCGCCGGGCGCGACGTCGTCGGAGTTTGAGAATGATCATGTGGGATTGCAGCTGGTGCACAGGAAGCTGCTGAGATATGAGCGCGACATGCGACGGAACCTCTGGGCGTGAGGATGGGGTGTTTTGAGGGGGGGCATTCGGATGATGAGATATACGACTATTTCCCTTTTTGCTGGAAGCGGGTTTCCTTGCTTGTACAACCTTTGCTATACATAAAATTCTTTCCATTCTATATCCGACAGTTCCCCGGGATACCTTGCCGTGGTTCCGCAGAGATCCCGACACACAGAAGCATGGCATCGTGACAGGTCGACGTGGTCGTACATGTCTTGTACTCCGCCTGTACTCCGAACCCGTATTCGCCATGTCGAACAGTGTGTTAGATGATCTTCTTTTCGAAAATTTACAGGAATGTTAGTTCAACTACCAGAAACATGGGGGGAGAACATCCACCCGCCGGCCATGGAACTATTCATGCTGTTTTTCTAATACCCTTTGCGCCATCCTGGTTAGCGCATGTCGTTAATAAGTGACTCAAGAGAGAGGGCAAGGCATCTTGAAGCGGTTGATGAGAGACCCGATTTTCCCAGTCTCCGTGCCTTGTCTTCTTTGGGTAGCAGTTTGCTAGCCCATCGACTTGATCGATGCCTGCATTTGTTGCGTCAGATTTACGACCATCCCAGAGGCGCGCGTGACCACCTGCTGAAGCCACGGCCCCTTGACGCCCAGTCCTCAAACTCAACAACAACAACAGCCTTCTCATCTACCAGAACCTTCAAACTTCTCCGTATTTCATCTTTTTCAGATAAGCATGGCAAGCAAAAATATAATGCTGGCCGTGACCGGCGCCGGCGCTGTCGGGGCCGCATACTACGCCGCCGCCCGCACCACTCGGCCGGCGGCGGCGTCAAAGCCGAGCACGTTGGCTGATGGCCGCGACCACGACCCCGACTCTACCCACTCTGCACGATTCCCGGCTGAGTCGTCCTCGTGTATGGTGCGGCGGTCGAGCTCAGCAGTACGTCGAATTTACATAACTAACCCGGCCAACGTTCTGTACTTGGGAGAGCATGACTGCTAACAAGTCGTCCACCAGTCTAGCTCAGATTTGCCACCCTTCAACAGCAACCCACACCTGGGTGAGGCGGAGAACGGGGGACACCAGCAGATATTCACAAAAATCAGCAATCGTCGCTGAGACTGCAACGACAAGAACACGAGCAAAAAGAAAAAAAAAAGGCGGGCGTTGAGCTTGGTATATGTATGTTACATGTTGAACTGATATGCTAATGTTGATCTCGTTGAAAATGCGTCTTGGCCGCCGCGTTGAAATAATCTCGACCTAGTTGAAATGCAATGATTGTTGACTTGTTCGAAATGGCATGCTCTCATATCCCCAAAAATGCTCATTCCACGAATCATCACGCCAGCTTCTTCTGCGTAAGGTCCGCCAGCTCGTCCAGCAGCTCCACCGTCTCCGAGGGACTCGCGATCCATGCCGTCGTGCCCACGCTGCGCGCCTTGAAGTCGTTGCTGCCCGCGCTCAGGAACTGGTCACCCACGTGCAGCGTGTTCTCCCCGCCAATCGCCGCCGCGCCCGCGTCCCGCCGCCCGAACCACTGCTGGCACACCGCCACGCCCCACGACTTGTCGCCGATGTCGACGAAGACGTCGCGGCCGCCGTTGAAGGCGCAAAACGGCACGCCCCGCTTGGAGGGCCCCGGGCCGGCCGAGGCGGCGCAGACTTTGCTCGCCGCGGCGGCGGCGGCCTGCTCGCGCAGGCCCAGGCTGCTGAGCTCCAGGATGCGCTGCACCACCAGCACCGTCTCTTCTAGGCTCTCTCGGGCGATCTGGATGTGCGGCGGGTCCGGGATGATGCCGACCGCGCGGTCCTTGCGGATCAGCCGCGCCGGCAAGTTCATGGAGCGCACGCAGTCGCGCAGGGCCGTCTCGGCGACGTCGAGGAGCGCGGTGATGTCCGCCTCGGACCACGAGGCCATCTCGGGCGTCAGCCACTGCGCGCGCGGCACGGGTGCGAGGCGGTGCGGCGACGACTGCGAGTACTCAAACAGGTAGTTGGCCTCGCCGCCCATGATGACGAGGTTCTGCTTCTGCACGGGGTCCAGCTCCGTCGACGCCGCCACCGTCTCCAGCAGGCCGTGCAGGCGCCCGTAGTAGCCGTCAGCCGTCGTGTAGCCGGCCGCGGTGACGATGCCAATCTTTATGTTGTTACGCATGAGGTCTGTCCAAGGTTAGTGGTGTGTCGCACGATGCAGCATGGTGCTGCGCGCAGGGAGGGGTAAACTTGCTAATCAGACGTGGTACGATCGGGCTGCTGGCCTCGAGGTTTTGGCCGTCCTCATACAGGGTGACGTCACCGTCAAAGGTGGCGAGCTGTAGGGTGCCATTGGTGACGGCCATGATTTGGGCAGAGTTGAGGATGAGGCGGACATCGTTGAAAGATGGCGCCACGTACCGGCGGCAAGAAATGTAGCGCTTGCGGTCTTGATACTTGAAGGCGGCCTCTAATGGTAGCCTGGTGAAGAAGGGGCCAGCCGTCGGGACCAACATGCCCAACTTGGACGGTATGGGTATGGGGGAGTCTTGATTCTGACGAGCGACTGTGAAAAATTAGCCAGAACTTCGTGTCAAGAGGCCCGTTGCGCTTACTATGATCGTCAATCATGACTTCCACGTCGCGCATGATTTCGGCGTAGCGGCGGTGCGCCTCCTCTGACATCTTGGCGATGCTGGTGCCATCGCCGACGACGCCTGTGGGCTGCGAGTAGAGGACGAAGGGAACGGCAAGGAGACCCTTGACCCATTCAATGAACTGGTCTCGTCGGTGCGTCTTGAGCGCATCTAATGGCGGTCAGTGGGCTGGAAGGTGCCAGGTAGGCGATGTAGGGTACGGATGGCGATGGTGAGGTCCACGATTGTTCGATTCCAGGACTGTACTAACATTCCACGCGGTATCGGGTCGTCATTGTTTCTTTGACTCACCGACGGTGAGGTTGAGATGAGATCAGACTAGCGGGGTTGGAGCGTTTGCAGACGGGAAGGAGGAGTTGGGTGCTTGTTTCCTCCTCCCACAATGGCTGGCGATGAACCTGATTTCGTGCGACCGGATAGAAGCACTCAAGATAATGAGATTATAAAAACGATAAAAAAGATCAACCTGACTTGTTTGTGTTGAAGAGGTCAAGTTCGTCCACCCTCAGTTGAGAACAGTCAACGGCCCGCCAAGACCATCACGTGCCCCACTTGATTTGGTGCAACCGGCCGGAGAGCGCCGAGAGCTACCCTTGTGCCTTGGTAATATGAGATAACAAAAAAGAGACGCCGTCTAATAAAAAGTTGAGAGGCTAGCTTGTAGAGAATGAGATGCTATGTTGGGGAAAATAGTTCAAAGTTTGTTATAGCCTGAGGCGGCGTGAGGTGTATGCACAATGTGGGCGAATGGGCGATCCGCCTTTACAGCTGCGCCCTGGCGATCTGGGGTCTTTGGTGTGCCAGCGGCCAACTCCGGGCCGCTGCTGCAGAGGCCAATCAAGCACTGCAGGTGACGCAAATCGGTTCGAAAAAGGGCTCGTCTGAGATGATTGTAAACTGATACTCAGTACATTTTACCTTGGTCGCTGGTCGCCGCATCTTCGCCGACACCCTGGAAACGCCCGCTACGGCGCCAACTCCGGTATTCAGGCCCGCACACCGACCTCGCCAATTTTGTCCTTGTGCGACCAGCATCCCCCCTCCCTCGCCATTCATCGTGAAACTTTCTACCTCACAGAATCAGGGCCATCTCCAGTAGCCGAAGACAGATCTTACCATGGCCAAGTCCAAGTCCAGAACCAACCGGCCCCAGCGCCCCTCTCCCCCCTCCGCCGCCGTCTCATCCTCACGGGCCTCCCTCCTCCGGCAGACCTGCAGGTTCCTCGGCACCACCGCCGGGCTGGATCTCACCCTGCGTCTCTTCCAAGGCCTCGTCCTCGTCTCCGGCCATGTCGCGACCGACGACGTCGTGGCCACGCGGAGCCTCATTGCCTCCTCTCAGCTCGATCTCGGTAAGCCCATCCCCGTGACGTTGAGTGCCGGTCATCTAACAACGGACAACAATAGCAAGGAGGTATTTGAGATTCTTTGTTCTGTTAGATTGCATCCAGAATGTCCTCGACGCGGCCACCCAGGTCTACGCCTCGCTCGTGCACAAAACCTTTGACTTGGTGGAATGGAGCTGCCTACTCGTATACTTTGCCCTCGAGAACCTGACCCTGGCAAGTTACACCGCACCCCTTCATCTCCCCCAACATTTTCTGAACCGCCCCGAGTCCTGACTTCCTATAGCTTCACGACATGAAGATACACGTCGTCCCCTGGTACACGCCCGTCCTCGTCGAGGCCAACAAGTTCTGGTTCTACGCCATCCTCGCCTCCATCGCCCGCACCCTCGTCCTGCGCGTCGTCCTGACCGCTTCAAGATCCACCAAGAAGGAGAAGCAGCGGCAGCATCAGCAGCTCCCATCGCTGAGACGCCTCGTTGTTGACGCGCTCGACCTCACCCTACCCGCGTCCTTTGTCGGCTGGCTCGCGCTCGACGACGCCACCATTGGCTGCCTGATGACCGTGAGCACGGCTCTTACCTGGAGGGACGTCTGGGCAAAAGCGCAAAAATGAGGCTCACCTCCGACGTTGTGCCAGCATCCCTCCGTTACAGCATCCGACAATGAGTAATGACTAGACTTCATCATTATCCCTCAAAAGCGATCCAGTCAAACGGAACATGTACCAATTATCACTATAGACGATACACCATAGACCGCAGGCCATAGACTGTTAAACAAAATAAATCATTATTCTTTTCTTCTTGATCATCTCTAGACAATGCGCCCCCCACGCTGGCAGACACTCGATGGCCCAAACAGGACGTCGAACACATCACTAGCGAAACGATTGTCATCCGCCCCTTGTCACCACCTACTTACTATGTAAAAATTGGTTCCTTTCCGTGCGCTTGAACCATGTGTCCCAAACACCCATAATCCTCGCCGGTCTTAGGTATCTTGATGCTATCCACCACTTGCTCTTGTGCTCATCGCCAGTCCAGTCCCACGTGGCGTAACTAAACAACACACGCTCCCGACCCTCCCGAATTCCTCGCTGTATTAAAGAAAAAGCTCATTAGACCTAGTTTGCACCGCCGTTGGGCGGCTGCTGTGCTTGTTGTGCTGCAATCGCCTCGGCCTTAGCGATGATGCTCTGCAGAACGCCCTGTTCATCTGACGAGAGGTGACCTGCCAAGTTGCCATAGAACTGGGGTTGCTCTTGTTGCATTTCTGGGAAAGTTAGCATGTGCCGCAAATGGACTCCTGGGGTAACTTACTCAGAAGAGTGCCACGGAATAGCTGATAAGGCTCGACCTTATCCAGCGGCGACTCTAGGAGGACGCTATCTTCTCTGAGCTCATCCTCCTCCTCATCGTCAATAGCACGACTGAATTTTTGAGCCTGTAATTGTTAGCTCATTCAACATTGCTGTAGCACCTATTAGGTTCTTACCTCCCCGTGCAGGAATTCGAGGTAGGCGTTGCTCTCTTCCTTGGCCTCGGCTGCCTCTTCCTCGACAACTGGCTCTGCCTCTTCCTCGGCCTCCCACTTGGATTCATCCTCATCCCACTCGTCATCGTCATCATAAGTATAGTTGTTGGAGAAGTACGGGTCGTCGCGGAGGGCTTCCTCACGATCTGTGGCAAATTAGTACACGGACTGAAGACACGCTCCAAAAGACTTACTCTTGAGAGCCGCCGGTAGGGTACGGAAGAGCTCAGTAATGCCCTGAAGCAGACGTGGCCAGCCGACAGCGACACTCTGAGGAACTTGTTCGTGGTTAAGGTTGAGGAGGGCAGAGATGGCGACAATGCAGAGCTTCTTGTCGTGGACGCGGGTAAACGACGGCATACTGCCGAACCACAGGCTGAAGAAGCGGTTCGTCCAGCCTTTGGCCTCGAGAATCTGAAGACTCAGAAGAGGGTTGTAGTGGATGCAGTTGATGACCATCTCCAGAAGGTAGATTTTGTAGCTCTTGGGCTTGACGTCAGGCTGGGCAGACAACACAGTCATGGCCATAGAGATGAAGCCCTCCATATACTGGTCAATGCTGCCACGGAGGCTAAGCATGAGAGCCTCGGCCAGCTTGCAGGCGCATATTCTCTCAACACCACCCTGACGAGGATCCGTGAACATGTCTGAAACCATCTCATAAAGGGCTCTAACATATTCAGGTTTCTGGGTCAGTTGTGCGGCACCGAATTGGACGAAATTGTCCAGAGCAGGTAGCATATCTTCGAGGTAGAATTCAGCGCCGGACTTGAAGGTTGTGTGAATAAGCTCAAAAGCTTGCCACATGTTAGGGGATATGCTTTTGGCGGTAAATGTGCAGCTGTCGATAATTTCGAACGCCTCATTATAGAGGTCTGTCAAGTTAGCTTAGTTTCACCGAGTATTTTCCAAAAGCCTTACCGTATAGCTTATTTTCCAGAGTAACCTTGATGACAGGCATGAGGACGGCCTCGATATGGAGAAGCACATCGGGGGTGCTCTCAAGAGTCAGAACCAGAGTTCCAATGGTCTGCAAGACACCAAGAGCTGTGATGCTCTTGTCATCGTAGGCAATGTATAGGTCGTCATCATCGCCGGCCTTGCTCTCCTTCTCCACCAGTTCGCGAACAATGCGTAGATATGTGTCTCGAAGCTGTTCACACAGGGCAACAGCAAAGGGGGTAAGCTCAGTGGCAAAAACTTCAACGAAATCCTCCATGACGTTGGCGAGGGCGTCGATATCAGCCTCGTTTGCAAGCTTCAACAGCTGCTGCATGATGGTAGGGATGCTCTGTTTCATGTGCTGGCGAATAATGTCGTGGCGAATAAGAGGCTGAAGGGCAAGAGCTGCAGTAATGCGGACCGGAAGCGCTTCGTCGGCCATGCCGTCGAGAATATGGCGGTAAATCGTGAGCAAATTGTTGATATCCTGGAAGTTGAGCTGCTCAAACTTCTCAATGGTGTCGCAAGCACGAGCACGTAGGTAGCCTTGGGGGCTCTTAAAGTCGGGGAACACATATCGCACGAGGAAGTATTCGATTTGGTCGGCGATGGGACTCTTTTTGCCGAGAATAACGGGTGCGAGAGTACCAATCATGCGCAGGGCACCCTCCTTGGCGACGTGGTTCTTCGCCTCGGGGGCGGCTTCCTCGTACTCGTTGACGACGGCATTGACAAACTTGAGAATCTCAAAGGTCTCCTTGCGGCGCTGCTTGGTGAGGTTGACGAGGAAGTTGGTGGCGGCAACGTCGGGGGCGGAGGCCTCTTCGAAATACGTGAGCTTCCTGTGAAGGTACTCCTCAGGTTCGTCCTCGAACTTTTCGAGATCGTCTTCGGTCAAGCAGAGCACAGGGAAGACGAAGTGGGTGACAAGATTGGTCAGATGCGGCTTGAGATGCGGCCACATCTCCTTGGGACCAACAGCCTCGTCGAGGAAGATGAGGGTGTATGACAGACAAGGTCGGCTAAGCCACGAGGTCTTGGCCACCCATTTCTCAATTTCGTGGAGGTAATGCTTGAGAATCTCGGGCGCGATGTTGGCGATGAAGTTCTTTGCAAAGGCGAGGGCATCGGCCTCCTTGCCAGGGATGGTGGGGTTGCCATGTCTGGGAGGGGTTAGGAGAGAGAAGGCGCAGGGAATTGATTGCGGCATACCTGATGAACAGACGGTTAAGGTTGAAGTAAGCCCACTTCTTGGCTTTCCACCAGTGGTGAATTTCACGGTCGGCCGGATCGTCCTTCATGGCGCTGGCAGGGGCGGCTTTGGCAACGGTCTGGAGGAAAACAGTGCACCATGCGATGTTGGTCTCGGGGACACGGAGGGAGGGGGAGAGCTCGAGCTAGAACTTGGTCAGAAATGGATTTGGTCGTGGCGCAGAAGCAGTACATACCCAGGTAGCGTGCTTGTAGGTCTTGAGAGCCAGGTGAAGCATCTGACCGGCCTCGTCACTCTCTTGGTTGACCAGCTCGTTGCAAATTGTTAGAAGGCGGGGGAAGCTGGTCTCGACAATGGTGTCGAAGTGCGGGCGGTCATCGCTGTTAGAGGACTTGAAGCGGAAAGCACGGCAGATGGCAAGAAGACACTGCAGACCAGCGAGTACCGACGAGGGATTGTTGGTGTTCAGCAGCTCCGAGGTGAAGCCCATAAAGTTGGGCCATCGGCTAGGGAAGTCGGCCTGGAGGACGCGCTGGATAATAGGGATGAGCTGCTGGCGGACGAGGGGGTCTGCATCTGCGAGAAGAGGGACGAGGCGGTCTCGAATGCGACTCTTTTCCTCATCGGGAATCAATTTGCCCTGGGTGACGGGCTCGGTCGTGTACCATGATCGATTGATGCGGTTCTTGAGATAGATGATTGCTAAACACGCGTGAGGGGGCAGATTCGGACGGCGGAGGAAGGGTATGAGCAGCAAAACATACTGGCTAGGCGCACACTGGCATCTTGTTCGGCCTCGAGGATGTCGAGGAGGCAGACGAGGAAACCGGTCTCTTCTTCAACCTAGAGGCCGCTGAATTAGCATTTTCCGCCACAAAGCGAACGGCTCACATCACTCTGGCTCGAGGAGAAGCGGTCGCGCAGACCAGGGGGGAGGATTGGGGTATTGCCGTGGTGGGCGGCAAGCAAGGGGTGCATCGTCGAGGGGGGGCAAAAATGGCAGCCGAAAAATAAAAAGAAGACGGTCAAGGGGATGGGGACGGACAAGGCGTCGGTCGGGGAGAACGAACCTGCTTTAGTTGAAGCTCAGCACGACGTCTATTGTCGGCATCGGGAAGCAGACTCGTAGCGAGCAAGCCCCTAATGGCGGCAGAGTCCATGGCGACGACGTATATGGGAGCAGTTGTGGTGATTTGGTGTTGGGAGAGACTTGGTTGTGTTGCGTCCTTGGGTTAGTCGACCTGGTATCCGTAGGTAGAGGGGCGGGCAGACGCTGGTTGGTGGGTGAGGAATGCGTGTGGGCTTCTCTCGTGGTCGGTCGAGGATGGATTTGGCGGGCAGAAAAAAAAGTTGGCTGTTCTATGGGCAAATCGTGGCGGGGCATCAGAACCCAAACTGACTGATGGTGTGTAGATGGGGGAGGATTTATCCTAACGTAAGTAAATGCTCTAGATGTGGCAAATAGAAAGAGTTGATGAGATTCAGTGTTAATGGCTGTCGGTCATGGGGATTCGGAAAAAGGACGAAGCGAGAAGAAATGAGCGATGGATGATTCAGGTGCCTTGTTGGCAGAACTGGAGGTACACAGATGGAGGGGCTACACAGGTAACCCCTCCACAAAGGGACTGTGAGCCGATACCTGAGCTTGGCCCAACCTGAGGTACCCTGCTTTTTCTGGGCGGTGGACACGTCCCCTAGGATGGTCCCCTGTAACATGACAAGACCAAAGTACCAGGTATGCTATATGGCTCTTTTCTAGCCCTTTTTCTCTTGGAAAACCGAGCCGTTACAATATTGTATTACACCTCTTTAGTATTTTCACCCAGTTAGCACACCTCCATCGCCTTTGTAGCGGTAGCTGGAACATCCTCTGAAACCATCAGCCATAACCGGCTACAGGCGGTGCCGTGGACGCGCAGGAAGCCGTCCAGGTGCAACAGACAATGAATTCACAAACGTATTACCCCAGAAAAAGGGTGACTAGCTGCATGGCAGTACAAGACACAGCTCCCAATCAAAATATTCGAGCTTAATTATGTCTTGGCATCAAGGATGCTCACATTCGATCATCAACAAAGCCTACTGCTGTCCTCAATCGTCACACTCACCCGCCACTTTCCTTACCTACAGCCACAGCATTCAAGCCACAAGCAGGTATTTCTCCCACCAATACCCTTGCACAAAATTACAGCAGCGGTAGGGCAGGGCTGGCAAGCAACGCGCACCAAGCCAACTGTTCTTGCTCACCAGTGACACTTTCATCGTTGCACAAATGTTGCGCGGAAATATTCAAACAGTGCCTCTTCAGGCCCCAAATTGGCGAGACGTCTTGGTTGATATGCCGCAGCGTTTGTTGGTGCTCATATGGGCAGGACCCTGGGACGCAGATGATGTTCGCGTAACCTGAAGACAACCCGAGTAGGCACGAAACATGCCTAGAAAAGAAGCAAACCTATGCTGAACTCTGTAGCCTTCCCCATTTTCCTTGCATTTTCTATTCCCCCGTTTGTCGCCGGTAGCGGTCGTCAAGCGTAGGCCAACTTATGACCTCACTTGACCCCAATGCAGTCCGTCTCCTGCATCAGCCATGGCTACGTCATTCAACAGGCCGTCATCCTCCTGTACTGCCTCATATTCCTCCGCTGCCTCTCACAATCCTTGCAGCTTACCGGCCTCGTCATATTGTCTATCCTGTACGCTCTGCATCAAGGCCACCCGTTTTTCCGCCTTCACCAGGCCCGCTGAGGCCTCCGCGATGCGCTTCATCACCGCGCGCAGACCACCATCCCCGTACCCAAGTTGCACTGCGCGCTCGAGCTCAAAGAAAGTGTCTACATTGTGTCACGGAGCGCATTGACGACGTGATTCTCGCAAGCGGCTAGGTGCAGCGCACGGCCAAGTCGCGCAAGCGCGTCCTCGAGAGCCTCTGAACCATGACCGAGCCAGCTGCGTCACATACCAGGCACCGGCCGCGTACTTTCTCATCCTCTCGCGGCGATCTCAGCTCCTTCCACATTCTAGTCCTGGGCGACGAGGCCGTCGGCATCGTCGACCGGGGCGCGGCTGGGTGGAAGCCACCCTAGAAGAGGATACGTCTGTGTGGAATGTGCATAGATCCGATCCCTATGGTCGGTTTTGGCAGAAAGGTAGATGACTCCCTAGAATAATCCTCAGAAACTATAAATATGGGGGCGATCCTACAAAAATACCATGGTGTCTGTTGATGGCGGGACAGACAGCTACCAATACCCGTCGGGAAGTGTCACGTCTTATCATTCCTGCACACGCCGTGTAGGGGAGGAATCAACATCTTGGCACGATAAAGAAGTTGTGAGCTGCGCTAAGCTCTCGGCGCGGTCATTGTTGCAATCTCTAATAGTGGTAACTCGCAACAATACCCAAATACAATTGTATCATACATGAGTGCCTACTTGACCGGGCCGGCATCACTCATCCCCGAATGCTACCTATTACCTCCCAGCCACCTAAGGGCCTTAGTACTATTGCCTCGCAGCTAACTATCGTTACGCTTGTTGTGCCCACCATCGTTTCTGTCATTAAACCTTGTCATCGCGAGCTTGTAAGTTACGTTGCCTACAACGGACAATATGTTGCATAGCCAAAGGCTTCTAGACTTGCACTGAGTCGATGATGGGCTTTCACGAAACGCGCCCGTTTGAATTACACAAACTTACCTGCGTTGATCATAACTTGCCAAGAGCCCATGTAACAACGCATTCAGCCAACATGTCAAGATGGTACGATGTTAGTGTACAGCTGGTTCAAACTCTTGGTCTAATTTTACGCAACAACTCGGACCTCAGAAGGAAAACTTCGGCCGGTGGAACTTGGCTTTCACATGATCCTCGCCAAGGCGTTTATGCGGAGTTCATCAACGCCCGCATCAACACCCGCTCTGCGGCCCGTCTCGCCGTCTCCCCTCGGCGGCGAGTCTATTACACCGAACGGTTGGCTTAAGCACACCCATTGACATTTAATTTCAGCCATTCATGTGATATGTTTAACGGAAACGCCACATATTTATTCCTGCTGAACGCCACCTTCATAATGTCCGCAAATCACTCCGACCCCCACCCCCGGCTGTCGCCAGATTGTGTGCCATGGAGTGCGGAATAAGAACCTCGACGAGGTTTTCGCATTGTTTTACAAAGTTTGAATGGCGCCGGCGCTATTTCTTAGACAAAAGGTACGGAGATACATAATGGGGGATCAACATGGCCATCGCGGCCGATAGCCGGGCTGGCCCCGGGGGGGCTAACCGGCAAGCTCCGTCACCAGAAGGGTTGGGATGAGAAGCCAGAGGGAGACAGCGTATGCCGTTTTACAGCTGCATCTCTTCTAAGTGGAAGAAATATTATCTATCTTTCTACAATACCTAAAAAGCTTCCACAGCGAAATCTCTGAAGGATAGCTATTGAGCTCGGAAGCAGTCCGAAGTCGTGCATCGTGGTGCGTAGCGATATCCGGACCGGAGCTTGCTCGGCCCTGATCAATTCAGACCTACCCAACAAAGGCACTCTAATATACTTGCAGACAATAGGATTTGTGCTGTCCCTTCAAGTCACCCCCTGGACCATGAAACTTTCCGCTCTCGTGCCGCGCCCGCAGCCAAACCACCCGCTAAACCCAACAACCACAACATCCCTGGATCCAACCCGTCCTAGTTTCGACGTCCGTCACGTAGTTGCCCCCACGAGACCACTATTAAGCGAAACTCTACCTGTCAAAAGTCCATCTCGAGCTTGCCAGAACGCCGCCCTGCGGTCACGCTGAGGCGCTCTCAGCTGCTCCCTCGGCCGCCCGCCCAACAAAGCTCGGTGTCTCCGATCGCCCCTGCGAGAAGCGTGCCGCCGCCCGTCCAAGCTTCCTCCACGCAGGTCTAGTCTGATTAAGACATGGGACGTTTGAATTGGTTGAGCGATAGCCGAGAAGCTGCTGCGCCTTACCAAAGTCCGTCTTGAATGAGCCTCGGCGCGCGATCCAACGTTGCTATGTTTAATCTTTAATTCTTAATATCATACTATTCTTAGATCCCATGTGAACTTGTAGAATCTTGCATCATATCTTTCTATAAGAAGACTCGCCTTTTCCCGTCCAAATGTCACAATGTCTCCCTTCATCCTCATCAGCTGCTTGTACTTGTTGGTATCATACACACTAACAAGTACAAGAATACACACTACGCATAATCGACTCTATACATCAAAAACTTTAAATCATGCAAGACCTTGGCAGGAGCAACATGGACAACCAAGACCGCGACACCAACGAAGGAGGGCAGCCAAAGTTCCTACCCATTGCTCGGTCTACTCCCAACGCGGTGCTGCCGCCCATACAACGCAACACACTTCCCGCGCCTCCCTCATACGGGTCCCTATACCCGTCTCCTCCTCCGCCATACGAGTCACTCTACCCCTGCGCTCCCCCGGCCTACGAGACCCTCCCGCCACCGGCCTACGAGACCCTAGACTCGCCTCCTCCGGCCTACGACACCATCTACCCGCCGCCTCCCCCGTACTCGGCCCGCGCGCGCAGCTTGCCTTCGCGCCCTACCCTCCCCCCTCTCTGCACAATCCTCTCCTCCATGGGCGCCTCCCCCTCCTCCCCCCCCTCACCTCCGCCGCCATACACTTCTGCTCCCACCACCGCGGCGCGCTTCACCGTCTACCTCGCCCGCTACTACGGCGCCGTCGACCACGACGACTCCAGCCGCGACCGCCACGCGCTCTTCGTCCTGACCGGCGCCGGCCGCGGCGTGTACCTCGACGCCACGGGCAGCCGTCGCCGCGGGCTGCGCGTCAGCCAGACCCCCGGCGACGCGCCCAGGACGCGCAGCGGCCGCCTGCGGGAGAGCAGGGTCCTGGGCAGCGTCGCGGCCGAGGACCTCGACGCGCTGTGGGAGGTGTGCCGCCGCGTGCAGCAGGATCGGTTCCCGGTGGCGGCGCGGCCCGCGACCAAGGGCGGCAACGGCGCGGCGGCGCGGACGAGATCATCGCTCAAGAGCAAGACTACACCCTGCCGCTTTCTTTTGTACACCATCGATGTGCCTCCTCCGCCGTACAGCGATGCTCATGGCGCGGAGCTGTTGGCTTCGCCGTCGCAGGAATGGGTGGCGGCTGTCATTGCCCAGGCGCAGTCCTGTGGGCTTTTGCAAGCAAGGTAGAAGCTTTGGCATTTTGCTTTCAAGATTCATAATGGAACTTGCTGTGTTAGATCTTTTCCTTGGAAAAATGGGATATATCACTCAATCAGAACAGATTCATGACAATAATAATACATATATCTATAACATATCCCGGTGCCTCTAAATGTTGTGTAAAGCCAGGTGCGCAGCGGAAAATAGGTTCAAGATAGAGTCGGAGTGATCCATTTGTGCTCGCCAAGTATGTAGAGGGTCGAAACTATAGTCTCATAAAGTGATGCTGCGCAGTGGTTGACGATGAGGGACGGTGTACATAGGATAATATGGAAGTGGACATTGACTGGAGTTTCCGATGGCAGTGTGATTCTTCGCAAAATAGAGTTGAGCGAAGAACAAGTCCATGGTTTTGAAAAAAAAAAAAAAAAACAATGAACAGGCGAACAACACAATGTCGAGCCATTGATGGCATGATGCACAGATCCAAAGGAACGTCCAGTGCGAGTGGTCCAAGACAAAAGGTTTTGAGGTTCATTCTCAATATCCAGGCTCCAGGGTTCTTTTTGGCTGGCAAACGCTAGATGTATCAGTGCAAACAAATCACACCCAGTGCACTCCAAGTCGCCAAACAAAGCAGCAACAATTCCATAAAAACGTCTGGGGAGTAAATACAAACCGGCGACGCTAACCGGCTGTCCGGATCTGGGCGCGTAAGCACAACAGCAATGCTTCTTGTCCGTGGAGAGGTAGACGGCTGGCCAGACTGTCGATTGACAGGACATCCCTGACTTGCCAAAGCCCCAGCCAGACAGCAGGCAGACATCGTCGACCCAAAATCAACAGGTACCGAATCAAACAAGCCTTTTCCAAAACGCCGATTGTGACAGGAAAGAGAAAAACATGACGTGAATCCATTCAATAATCAACTTGAAATAATTCTCCAGGTGACGGCGCAAACTCCAGAGCCAGGGCTGACAAGAATCATTCAAGTTGATGGCAAATCCAAAGAAACGAGAGCCAAAAGAGGTATATCCGGCATTGGTAACATTATCCGTAAATGAGGCGAGCCAAAAGCACAAATTAATCGCAAGCATTGTCCAGGGAATAGTCCAGCGCGGGTGTCCGTGGTAAAGGGTCCGTATAGGGTGGTTATATGTACGCAGAGGGTAATCCGGTTTATATTCCATTGCGGGTCGTTGATGACATGAAAAAAAAAGGGCACAGTGCTTCGGGCGAAGCATCCAGGGGACAAGGCAATCACAGTATTTGGAGCTGCGTTAGCCACGACTGGCGAGGAGGTTTGTCTAGCGGCGGGGAGGGGGCGGTCGGTGGTGTCTCTCAACGGAGCTCCTGTCGCTGTCCTGGTCACTACGACGCTTGTTTGCACCTGAGGGTGGTTTGGGGCTGGAAGGGGGCGCAGAGCCTCGAGGGAGAGGGGGTTCATCATACTGCTGTTGCTGTTGTTGCGGCGGCGGCACTCCTTGGGCTCCATAGGGTTGTGGAGGGCCTGCGGGCGAGGCTAGAGTAGGTCAGAAGACAAGTTCAGGTAGCTCGCAGCTACTCGCCGTTGGTACGCAACTGACCTCTGCCGTAGAAGGGATCTTGCGGCTGGACCGAGGAAGAATACTGCTGGCCACTTCCCGGATGAGGCATCTGGTTCGAATATTGGTATCCGGGACCGCCCTGGGGTTGAGAATAGCCTTGCTGGGGAGGACCCGAAGTGGAATACATGCTCTGTTGGGGTCCGGGTCCGGAGGAGGCCCCTCGCGGTCCAGAGAAACCATCGTTGGGAGGGTAGCGGGGGGCCATGTTGGCACCGGTATTCACATAGGGAACCTCTTGGGGCGGTGGGAATCCTGAGTTCATCAAGCCGGGCTGGTTGACAGGGCTGGAATACCTGGGATCGGGATTCGCGGCGGGGGGTCCTTGCTGGTAGTTGCCATAGCTGGGAGCAGCGGTAGCGGGAGCATACGTTTGCTGCTGGGGAAAGTTTCCCGTGGCACCGGTGTAGCCTGGAGCACCAGATCCTGGGTATCTCGCGGTATCAAAGGATTCACGGGAATTGAAATGGTCCTGGGGCGGCTGCTGCTGTTGCTGTTGGAAGGGAGGGTGCTCGGTAGGACCATGGTGCTGACGCGACTGGTGCGTCTCGGAGTATCGATATTGCACTACATGTGAGTTAGAAGACGGAGCCGCAACATAGTTTGGGCCATCTCGCGAGCTTTGACTACCTCCAGGGGTATTGCGTGAAGTTTGGGCGCGGCGTTCGCTGTCCCAGCGTGCAGAGTCTGCTTTGAGGTCTTCGATCATTGCCTAGTCACGGTTTAGCGGGCGTTTGGGGGTTTGGGGGAGCTGTTTGAGGTGGCTTACGGTCGTCAGGTTCCGGTAGGCTGTGATGTAGTAGCCTTGGACGGTCTGTGAGGTTTGAGGGTTCTGAGTAGTTAGCAAAGCTGGACGATGGTAGTTTGAACGGCGACAGAGCTTCCGTCGCGAGGGCGCGCACCTCATAGTAGCCAGGCCGCACCAGGGCATCGTTGCCCAGGTAGCGGCAGATGTCGGCGGAAATGACTTCGCGATCGATGCCGTCTCGAGGGACAAAGTATTCGTTCATGCGAGTGCTGGAAGCAGCGGGCGCCGGAGCAGCGTTGCGGGGTTGTCGTGACATGGCGAGGAGGAGATGTGCGTAGGAGGTGACAGAAGAAAGAGAATGGCTCGGGAGGCGGAGGTGTGTGGGCAAAGGCGTCTAATATGCAGCGAGATAGAGGCAGACTGGCAGGCGACAAGGGCCTAAGGGGGGCGAAAAAGTCGAGCTGGCAGCGGGTCAAGGCGAGTGGCAAGGTATAGGTAGGCAGCCTGCAGGGCGCAGGAGAACAGGGACTGGGCGGTGATCAACTAATAAGCCGGGCCTGTAGAGATTTCGTGCGTGTCAGTTGCGAAAAGGGCCAACCAATGTCAGAGGGAAACGGGCAAAGCGAGAGGGAACAGGGGTAGGTGGTTGGATAGAGGGGATGGAGGGGAGAGGGGGAGGGTGGCTGACCTTTTTGCTTGATGGCTTAGCTTGCGCTGAGGACAGAGCGAGGATGACGATGAGTGAGGAGGGCTGGGCTGCAAAAGCGTGAGTTGGGCTTCTGGATTGGGTGCCAAAACAGTGTCGGATGATGGGACGGAGACGCTGGGACTGTGTGGTGCAAAGCGGCGACGGAGGTGTGTGCGTGTGAGACGAGAGTCGGCAGTCAGTCATTGATGAGGGCTGGTGATACTGGTGCGGCACGAGAAGGGTTTGGGCAGCATTATTAGCCCGGGAAGGATGAAGAACAAGGGCTTGGAGGGTCCGAGTCGAGATGTTTGACTGGTGCAAGGGGAGCAAGAAGAGGAGCAAGGGGAGCACCAGTGCGACGATGGGTGGTGGGGCAGGCCTCTCAGGCGGGCAACCAAACAAACCAGTCACTGGACATGATCAAGTCTGCGCATGCCCGAGGAAATGGATTCGAAATTACTATGCATACCTTTCAGTTATTTTGAAAATTGTCAATATTTTGTAGAGATTTTATTCCTCCATCTTCGGTTTTATCGGGCCGGACAAAGGGATAGTCCTTCCAACCATTCCCATCCCACAAACAGGTAGCTCGGCACTGGACTCCGTACCCAGTCAACGAGGCGTGCCAACCAGGAAGATGCGTCCGGATATTCTCCTCCTCTGCTATGGATTGGTGGGCTGTGAACTTATTAGGTAGGATCCCAAGATGACGCTCCAGCCCAGCCAGCCAAGGTATTACCATGGGACGAATCAGGCTTGCCAGTTCCATCATACCATGCTACATACCAACTTCCCGTGTCCATGCTCCCTGAAGGTCCGGCAACATCATCAGATAGTTATTAGTTAGTTATTAGTTTGCTTCGTAGTTAATTAGTTGGCTGCTCTCTTCACCAGGCATCCATATCCATTCAACATGGCGGCCCAAGCATTCCCCCACCTCCCTCTACTCGTCCCAACGTACCCAACGTTCCTCAGCTCTACCAGAACCTTGAGCATAGCATTGACGCGAAATAATACCAAAAGACCCCTAATAAATTTTCTAGTTTCGAGATGTTCAAGATATTAATCAATCTGTGGAACCAACCCAGCGTTTGGCCCCGTGCCTCTCCATGCTATCCAACTCTTCCACTCTCGACACCGACGTCCCAACTGTCGGTGGTGGACCTTCTGTCGCCATGTGGGCTGCTGAGCTGGGTCCTGGCTGCAAGTCGTCGTGTCTGCCATGCACTCATGCCACCACATAACCAAGCACGACGCATGTGCAGGGCAGATTCCGGACCTTCTTGGCTGGCTGGCGCTGGCTATCTGGACTGGTTTATCTGGACAGGTTTGGTGGGGGGCGAATTTTCTGATCTTTCTTCTCTGTTTCTTCTGCAAGGCAGCTTGGTGCGCGCACCACAAAAACCGCGCTGCTCGGTTGCTCACAACGCCTTCCTCCTGCAAACCAGCGCCGCACGTCCATGCACGAATGAAGTAAACCACGCCGAACACTTGCGATCGGCTTGCATGCCCTCACTTCTTGTCGTCCTCCCCGCCGCCAGGTGCTGTGACTGATCGCGCGGCACTGCGTCCGACCAGCGTCACCGTTCCGGGCCGTATGCGCCGCCCCAACCCTCGCGCAGCCCAATCTTTGTGCGACCTCAGTAGGGCTTGGACGCGCCAAATCAAAACTGTCCCAAAATTCTCGGTATCACGCGGGCATCACGTCGTGGCGAGAGATAGGCCGGTGATGCAGCTTACTGGCAGCGCATTGCGTCGTCCCTGCCAATCACGACGTCAGAGACTCGCCAGTAGGTAGGCTACTGTGTAGCTTCGGCCCTCTCACTAGCTCCCAGCAGAAACGGGTACAAAAAAAGAGCATTGTGTGAGACGGACGGGTGCCTGGTTCCCGCTCGCGCCGCTGGTGGACCGCCAAAACCGCCTCTTTTTAGTTGGGTATCAACGCCTTCGACCCGATTGCCACCCAACCCAACCATGGGGCTGTCGTCCGCTAGTCTCAGATTTCCTTGCACTTCTGACCCACACTGGCGACAGACGTTGGACGTTCACAGATTGTTGGGATACTGTCGTCACAGCAGTATATATGTCGACAGGTTCATGACGATAAATTTGGACTTCACCGGTATGAACACTCGGTCGCGAATTTTTCTTTTGGCATCAAAAACCTCGCATCAGCCAAACCACACCATTTCCATTCCGACAACAACGTCATAGTCCCCCCACGCGACGCCCAGTGCGGGACTCAAAATGCTTGAGTGCAAGCCCAATCCGTGGCAATCGCCATCTTCGGTCCGGGGTTCTTCATTTTTTTCCCTTCTTTTTCGACAGACTAGCATGCGTTGAGTTGAGACATGATCGATTACCCAAACTTTAGCTTACTTTGGCCCTGTTCAAGCCTGCTGCTTCCGCCTCCGCGCCCTCCGCGTCGCGAGGTGGACGACCCGCCGGGCCCCTTGTTGCTTGTGCCACGCACCGGTTTTGCACTCCGTGATCCCTCGGCGAATGTTGACGTGACACGTTCTTCTTCTTGTATGTCCTTAGCCATATGCCAGTCCATGTGGCTTTGTAGTGCCTCCGGCATATCGAAGGAGGCGTTACAGCGACCGCACCACCAGCCCGCTCGCTGGGGCTCGCCCGGTTGATGAATATGTATCCCTGCTTCGGCTTCGGCCTCTGCAGCCGCATCTGCATCTGATTTGTGATGGCCATGGTTATTCTCCACGCAGTCGCCGTCTCTTCCCCGGACATGGGCCGTTGTAGCATCCGCCTCCGCACCAGGCGTCCTTTCCGTATGGTCGAGGACAAAGAATCGCTGTATACCCGCCTCGTCTGCACGAGCTCGTTTATGCGGTCTTTCTGAGGATGCAGATGCGCTGTTTCCATGGTCGTCAGCTTTGAGGGACATAGCTGCATCACCCTTGACCAAGAATGCTCCGATGCCCATGTTGTTCTTTATGCCATCTTCAAATCCACCCACGGTGAGGCTGAGGTTGTTGCATGGCCATATGCTACGGTCGCCTAGGATCTGCGAGAGCAAGTCCTTGGCCAAGCCTATGAGCATGGTTTCGTCAATCGGCCGGCCTTGAGGTATGGGTATCTGCCGACTCCGCGTCTGCGCCATATGACGAGCACTCAGGTGTATCGTCTTTGGTCGACGCTTGTTCTCCAGCACGCCTTCCTCCACAAGCCTGTTGAAGATGTCTCCCACAAAGATGCGAAGCCATTTGATAGCCTGCTCTGGTGTATCAATGTGTGGTCTGAATGACTTGGCAGATAGCATAGACTTGATTTGAGTTCTCGGGTTGACTTCACTCGTATCGACGCCACGTATGGTGTTATATAACCATATGCCAGTCTCCTCGCCCAGCTTGGCCTTGAGCTGCTCAATTGGCACGGGTAACAGATCCTTGACTTGCTCTGTCCCAAAGAGGCTTACCACTTGCTCGCCAAGCTTACCGCCCAGATTACGAATCTTGGTCAGCTTGAACTCGTGCAAGAATATGCCCACTGCCCTATTACGCACCACCGTCTGGTGATTGGGCTTTTTGTAGCCGGAGCCGAGTTTGCTTAGCAGCTTGTTGCAGGCCACACCTGCTGAGCAGGTATATCGCAACCGCTCACGAATCTCGGTCCTCAACCCGCGCACAATTTCTGAGCCGACCAGAATTGCTACATCGTCCCAGTCTGGATCCTCACCCTCGCGCTCCTCGTCCAAGTCGACTAGCGCATCCGCCTGCCAGTCCAGCGCAGAAACAGAGGGCAACGGTAGCCGCTCTGTTGGGTCATTGTAGGGCGGGGGCTGCTGCAGTTCCGTAAACCGCTCGAGGAGAATAGAGTGCACCTGGGCAGACAAGTCCAGAAAGACTTCGTCGACACTTGCCTTTTCCACGCGTTGAAGGTTCTGCGGGAGGTGGGCGCGAACGAGTGCCAGGATTCTGCGCGACTCAAGACGGTACGGGTCGAGGGATACCTTGTCCGTGGTCATGTTGGCAGCAGCATCGGCGCGATACGCCCACTTGTCGTCACCCTCGCGCCACGTCGCGACATGCTGCGCGATGAGATCCGGACACACCTTCTTAGCGTCTAAAACGGAGCCGAGACGCCCACCAATCCCACTCTTACGAGCTGGGTAGTTGATGGCAATCAGAGACTGCCTTTGATGAAGTTAGCAACGCGGCTGTATGGGACTCATCGAACACGGCCGAATGCTGTTTGGTATATGGAGGAGCGCTTACCACTGTTGAACTGCCAGTGGCTGGTCATCTGGCAGCCCCAGTCGAACCATCTCGCACTGCGCATAAAACGCATCCAAATCAACGTGCGCAATGACACGCAGCGGGCTGGACGTGACGTAGCTCGCCATTTGGGACAGGTGGCGATATGTGAACTGGGAGCGCTTGCGGTGTGCGCCATCATGCTGCCCGCCCGATGACAGCGGCGCGTACCAATCAGGTGAAGAGGACATAATTGTGTAAGCCTGATACCTCTGCCGAATCAAGCGTGGCAGTCGACCATCTTGGACCTCCTTGCGTGTCGTAGTGACGCGGTTCACGATCGGGATGTTTGCTTCGTGCGATGCCGTAGAGCGTTACGGTACGCACCCGTTTTGTTGGCTGAGGAGATTTACTGCGTGGCTATTTCGTCACCACATCCTTCTCTCAAGCATCATCATCATAACATCGCTAAAATGCGATTTGGGTAAATGTTGAGAGACGCAAGATTGAACCGCGCGGGAGAGCCGGCATACCAAAGTTGGCCCCACATCGGTTGACAGCCGTAGTGATAAAGGCAGGTTCGAGCAAACGCAACCAGCCGCTTTGTTCTACTAAGATTCATCAACATTCCACTAAATCATTATTTTGTATGCTGGTCTTGTTATCCTACGCCGAGCTAAATGGAGTGCAAAAAAGAAAAGCAACGAAAGCAAAGCGCCCATCCCATGTTCCTTAGCCGACCACGCCGCAGGCCAAATCTCCCCTGCTGCCTTCGCTTACAAGATTCCTGCTAACTTTACCTTTCCACTCTCAGCTGGTTCTCATCAACATTGTCAGAATGTCAGCCTCCTGCCACAAAGCCTCAAATTGAGTGTGGTTTTCCCTCGCCAGCGCAACGCCCAGTCCCCGACTCTCGGCTTTTTGGCTCACGACTCGCTCTCTCCGATATTTCCGCGGTCGCTTCTTCAAAATCATGAAGGTCCTGGACGGCGACAGCCAGCCGATGATGCAGCATGGTGATCTGCGCGTGGAGCTGATTGATGCGGGTCTGCCAGTACGCCATGTCGTGGCGACGCTTCACGGGGTCCGCCTCGTACGCTTGAATATAAGAAAGCTGCTGGTAATGGTATCGAATGTCATCATCGGCGAGGTGAACGCTTTGAGTCGCGTCTTCAATCTCCATCTGAAGGCGTTGTCGCAGCTTGGAGCCGCGTCGCAGCTCAGCCATACGCTCCGGTTGAACTTTACCCGACATGTTTTCTCCTCCTCGAATGCTCAGGGTGGTGTCCTTTTTATCAACGATCTTAGAGAACACTGAAATTCGACGTTGAGAGGGGGGGCACTGGTCGACTTATGTAAACGACAGAAGAGTCGGCTTACACAGGCGCCCTATGTCACGCAAAGTCAACTGCCCGCGTGATAGAAAATAACTTGAAGCAGCCAACGGTTCGACAATGACGAGGATGAAGAAATCCAAAGTTTGCTTCGACTGATGCAGCGCTGACACAGGTGGTGCGTGGCCTGGCGTCGTATAATTGCAATACGGCAAACAGGTTCGCGAGGCGCTTGCGGCTCTCGGCGGTATCGCGGAAGAGCTAAGACAGAAGCACGCTATCAGCAAGTGGTCGATTGGTTATCGCTTGGATATTGCGTTTGACTCACAATGCTGTCAGCTTTTCTGTCGATGGGACCCAACGACGGCGTCGTCGGCTACACTAGTATGATGCAGAGGCTTGGATTGGGCGAGAGTTAAAAATCCGCCAGGCAGCCACAAGCAACGAGAGCAAGACCGAAGCGTCCTCCGGGGGGAATGCAAACGGAATGTCAGTGCAGTAAGCAAGAAAAGGGGCCAGTTTCAGGCACAGCAAGAATACAAACTTCACTTTTGGCTCACAAGAGAAGAATGAATAAGGCAAAAACGCGGGGAATTTATTATCAACAAAGCCCTGTGAGAGACAATTATCTGCATGGACGTGGAGTTGCGACAAGGAGGCGGGCAAGTGAGGGGAGGGGCAACGGCGCTGCCAACCGTTTAGTTACCGTTGCGGCTTTCCCGCGTGGCCAAACCCTTCCGACGAGGCGCATCGGCCTTGGACTGCAAATGGCTTTCCGGCTTCTCATTTCTCACCTCGCTGGCAGGTCTGGTCTTGTCGATGATGGGTGTGTCGGGCCACACACACGGACGGAGTACAGGCTGCGGCCATCCTTGCTCACAATGAGCGGTACATAATCAACTCGAACAGAACACAAAGGAAGGATTGTAGGCATGTATCGACTCGTCCGAATAGGGGCTTTTTGATTCGACTGTATTTGCGCTCTTTCTGGTGGATTCGATGCCAGTTGGCAGTCGGCGCTGCCTATCCCGGCCCTGATGATGCGTCAAACAACCCTTGTGCCCCCATTCAGTTGGCTGGAGTCATGGTACCCTTCATTCTGTAACACAGTGGTCTCTTATTATCCCTTGCTTTCGCGAGCGCTGTCATCTGCAAGCCCAGCCTCATGCCCCCTCCTACGATACTCCTCCTGCTAATCTGAGCTCGTTGTCGTCTCTTCTCTCCCCCAAGACCTGCAGAAGCCGCTTTATTATTAATTTATTGCGCCGAACTGCAGTGTGGCCATCTTGCAGATGGGATGCGCGGTCGGATCCTTCAACGGCAAACAGGCAGGGTAATCGAACGCTCCCGCCCCCCCCCATAAGCGTGAAGCACACAACCAACTTTTTTCCCATGCATGGATGTCTCTAGGCACTTCAGCTGATGCGTTGTTCGGTGTCCTTTGAAATCTTCACATGAAGGCGGGTCGCACAACATGAAAAATTACGACACCGTTCGCCCTCGACAGCCCGCAGTCACAACGACAGCTCCGACTGGCTTTGATGACGCTGATAAGCGAAGATGTCATTACGGTGAAGAGGGGAAAACCGGAGGCAACGCCGCATAAATCATTTTTCAACTCATCGCCCAGACTCCAGCGCCACCATGACCCTCTTGTCTCGCCCTAGCCCGAGCGAGCAGGGGTTCGGGGAAGCGGAAAGACACGCCAGTAGACACGCCAGTGAAGGTCTTGTGGCTGCTTCTGCAAGAAAATTCGCTCTGTAAACGACACTGGACATGCTGGTTAGAGGCCGAAGAACCGAGATTGCTTATCACGTCTGCGCTGTGGCAACGCCATGCAGAGTCCGATGGCTTACCCTGCAGCCGTCAGTTTGCCACGCTCATCACGTCAAGCAGCACGGAAAAGCTGGAAGGCAATGAACGCCTAGATCACGGCACCGAGAGCTGACGACGAAGAAGTCATGGGAAGTTTCTTGGCCGTTAGACTTGACCTCGCTTTGCCACCGCCACTTATCGGCATGGTATGTATATCCGTTACGACGTAGTTACATGCAGCGCCCCGACAACATCAGCCCAATACCGCACACCGAAATCGCATCGGAGCGGCGCCTAATAAAGTCATAGCTCTATAGCGAGTGAAAAAGAGTATGGAATTTTGAAAAAGAAAGCGTGTGGACAAATGAAGAAAAGGAGCTATATACAATAGGCGCAGACGTCCACCGCGACCACGTTTAAACCGTAGGATCGTCAACAGATCAAGCCTTGGCGTACTGAAAGACACTCACAGGGGGCAGAAAATGAGCAGTTTGGAGCTTGGAGAACTAATCAGCAGCGTAGTGCATGCCAAGTTCTGAGAGATGACTGGCCTCGCTGGACAGCAGGGACTGGTCATTGTTTGCGGTGCCAAAGTAGGCGTACCGCTCGACGCAGGCATTGCCCTCGAGAAACGCCATGGCCTTTTGCAGGAACGCAATGTCTTCTTCAGGCGAGCCATTTACACCCTTGAACTAGTTAGACGTTAGCTGCTGGCAACGACACGCTCCTCCGGACAACAAGTCCCGCGACGGGATGCTCCCCTCCACCCGTTACTCACCTCAGTCACCCACACCGGCCAACCCAGGGTGCACACCCGACCGACCCAGTCCTTCAGGTCGCGCTCCAGCGCGCCCGGGTTGTATCAGTGTACCGGGACGAAGTCGACGCGGCGCGAACGGCTCCATGTGCCGCCGCCAGGCGTCGACCGCGTCGCCGACGCTCATCGCCGCCTGTGGCCACGCCAGGTCCGGCTCGTTGAACGCGAGCAGGTGGCGCGTGCCGCGCGCGAGCCACCGTTCGACTCGCTCCGCCCAGACGGCGTCGTGCCCGTCGCGCAGGCTGTGCAGCATGGGCACATACTCGGCGAGGCTGAGCTTGCTGTGGCCGGCGATGTCGCTGTCCCAGTTGTACTGCCAGAGGACCTTGCTGGGGCCGCCGGAGAGGGACGGCGTGCGCTCGAAGCCGGAGAGGTCGAGGCCGTCGTTGCTCCCGAGACCGCGCTTACCGGGAGGGTAGTCGGTAGCGGCGAGTGCCAGGTTGGCGATGAAGGGCACGAGAGCCCAGAGAAGCTTTAGACGAACCATTTTTGAGAAAAGATTTCCGCAGTTGATGCGTTTCGCAGCTGCCGCTGATGGGGACATCTATCTGGCCATTCGCTTCTTTACATGCTCATTTCCATGTAGTCTGGGTATACACTGGTGCAAGCCCCCGTCGTGTCGGCGAAGTCCTGCCGAAGAGCTTGTTTGAGAGACGCCAAGGACCGTTCTGCTTTACATAGCAAGAGTAATAAACTCAATCCAACTATGAGGTGGCCTGGCTTCCAATGGATAAGCTCTATATCGTTGGTAGTGATGTGAGTTGCCGCAGCTGAGCGCCAGACGGAGGGCTGCACAGAAACGCTCACGCGGGCTGGAGTAAGGCGGCAGGGCTACAATACGTCATGGTGCTCGAAAAGATATTGATGAGGGATTTCAGGCTTTTCTATGTATTTTTTGTGAAATTTGGTGAAATGAAATAGAGTTTGGTGGGCGACGACAGTCGAGACGCCGCTTCGTTGCCGAGCTGATAAGCGAACGCTTCAATGCTGACATCTATCAGCAGGGGATTAGCTCAATTTTCTGGGCATTCAACAAGAGAGGATAATACCTTTTTCTAGTTTCAAGGTCTCGCCACGGATTGATCGGCCCGGTGCACAATATGCTGAAATAGCGGCCAAGCGGTTGCGACCACGCATTCTTCAGGCTGGTACGTTGCCCGGAATGGCAGAAGGACACGTGGTTAGATAGTGGTAGCTACTCACAGCTCAATGATAGACCTGCCTTGCAAATGGGTGCAAATCCGCCCAGAATGGCCTGTCGTTTTGGCCAATTCACCTTATAGGCAGGCAAGATTACTGGATAGACATGCGTGACCTCGGCTTGTTCCAGTTTGCGTCAAGGTCAGCAGTGTCGGCCAGGCTTTTCCTTTCAGTCTAACTTCTGAATTGACTTGCCGAAACTGACCGAAATTCTCTAATCGAAAATATGCAGGTATTATCAACATTGTCATGATGGTTAAAGAAGTGGCATGCTGTTTGGTGCCGTGCCGGGTCACCATGTCTCAGCCGCGAGATCGAGCGAAAATCCAAACTCAGACTAAAAAGTGCGCGGGAAGACTATTCTTGTTTGCTATTTATGCTAGGGGTCTCATCTCACACTTGGACAATGTGCATTAGTCTCTCGTCAGCCTGTAAGAGATCGGCACGCCGCCGTAGACACCGGGCGGAAGCTTCCGTCAATGGCCACAATGAGGAAGCGAGTGCCCGATCTGAAACATTAAACCGGAGCCTAACTCTTAGAGATTTCCTGTAAGCTGAGTCAACACTTATATCATCGCGGGCTCTTTGTGTAGCCCGGTTCTGTGTGTGTACGTCCGGATGGTTGGCTTGCAAGACCCGGGATGTCATGCTGCCTTATCGGGATACAAGTTGGGAGCAAGTGCTCGCCAAAGTTGTTTTCTCTTTTCTTCGCCGTGATCCACCTGAAACATGTCATAGCCTCATACCCAGCTCAAATTCAGTTCTTCTCCCATGAATCGCAACTCTGTGCTGTAAATCTAAGAGGAAATAGCTCGTCCGGCCTCCACAAATTGATCCCCTGTGGCTCAGTTGGCTAGAGCGTTGTAAGTAGTTTGCTCATCTCAAAGAGATTCCACAATCAAGTACTAATCGTCATCATCAGGGACTGTTAATCCAAAGGTCGGAAGTTCGAGCCTTCCCGGGGGAGTAACATCTGTTCTTTTTTTTCTTTTTTGTCTCATTTTTGCCAGAATATAAAATGGAATACGGATTACCTGATGGTCTTTTCTCAGCGCATTGTTGTGAAATTCGAGACATGGTCTTGATCAGTTGAGCTGAAGTTCCGTCCGCTACAGTCTGTCTTGAATGCCGGATGGCCAGTGAGACTTGTCTTTTCATCTTTTCTCACCAGGTTTCTCACGCGTTCCTGATTGACGGGTTCGGCCCCCAGTTCGAGTCCTCCTAGCCACCACCGCCCGTGTCCTTTTTGGCCAAGTGGGTTATCGTGACCCGGAATTATGAACCGAGCTGTGAATCGAATTAGGGCAAAGGCTCCGCCCCGGAGGAGGGACCTCAGTAATGACAGGACAGGAGAAATAGGTCAGCTGCGGCGAAGCAAGGTTGTGTTGCGCAGCCTTGCGTACAGGGCGAAACCCGCAGCTTCCGTGGGCGACTCAGGCGGAAGCCGCGGCTGTGTTTGCAGCACGGTGGTTTCCTTTGGGCTTGAGATAGTATGTCTCGGTAGATTACGGGCTATTGCGTTTGCAGGAGTTTGCCGACGGGGCACTCATGATATGTTACGAGGGTATGCTGAAGGCACCCGTCAATACTCTCTAGGCACCAGGAAGCCTAGTTGAGACTCGGGTGTGAGTCGGCGCCGACTTACACAAGGCAACTCGGCCTGGTTGCAGCTAGAATTGCATGCAAATTTTAATTCTGATGGAAGCGACCAATCTTGGTATGTGAAGGGAGGTACACTTTTTATAGTAGGAGATGCAAGAACCAAACAGTTGAGGAAAAAGTATGGAGACAACGACAAAAAACGACCGAAAAAGACGAAAGAAAAAAGTACGCCTTCCATTCTTTGTAATAGAGGGTCTACTTCTATCTTGTAGTTAAGTACAGGTGAAAAGAGTAACTATACATGTTGACACAGACAGTATAGGCTCAATCTTCAATAGCCGCGACCAGGCATCTACTTGACTGCTCTGCTGTGCAAGCGAGACGTTGTAGCATCCGAACCTACAGAAGAGTGCATCAAATAGTATAAAGATTTGACTATAAGACCGTGACAGAAACCCCCGGTTTTGAGACACCCAACCCCGTTTGTGTTTGAGTCGGCAACGGTGGTCGTTGTTTGCCTGGCGAGAGGCACAATGTGCCGAGAGGTTTCTGGTGAGTTTTCTTTACTTGGGCGTTAATGACTGAGCATAGCAACTTCCAAACAACGCGGAACAGCCTTGACATACCCGAAGCAAAGTTATTTACCCCAAGCGACGATGACGTCGGCATGGTCGGCGAAGACCGGTGTCGTCTTAGTCGGAGCGGCACCAACGGCCGTGACTGCTGCGACGACGGCAACATACATGCAGATGAGGGTATTCATATTGATAAAGACGTCAATGTTTCTTGTTTTGGATTCGGTGAGGGGGAGACTTGATGCAGAGTTGTTTGAAGTGAACATTGCGACGCAAGCACACGCTTCTCCCCCCTCCTTCTTATACTTGTAGACAGACGCATCGCCCAAACCCGCGTACTGAGCGAGTTTATTGTCTTATTGAGCCGGCGAAGTATTGTTATGTTCCAGGCTCGGCGCCTCGTTCTAAATACAACAATGAAAATGTGTGGCTTTCTTTGGGCGCCGAGTTAGTAACGCCAACAGGTGGTGAGAAGGGGGGGGGGGCGGGGGGCGAAAGCCTTTGGTTTGAAAACAAAGCAGCAAACACACATTTTAGTTTCGCCTTGTGACCCCGTCTGACTCGGTGAAAATTTCTCGAAAAAAACAACAGTCGGGACGAGGCAGATTGCATTTTCGGAATGCCGGCAAGGCTAGTCACGCATGGCATTAGCGTAAGCCTTGCTGGTCAGGTTCGCTGAGTTGCAGTTTGTAGAAGGAGCCGGAGGCTATATATTTGCAACTGTCATACGCCTTTGTCATTGGATCTGAAGCGGACGTATTATCTTGGGGTTTGCCGAAAATGCCGACGACTGACAGCTACAGAGTCTCGCAAGACTGCGACCATGGTGATGGCTCGCCTCTCCTGCCCTACTCGACTTGTGATGACTCGAGTCGCGAAAAGACAGCTGCCATGGCTCCCAAGGTCAATGCCTTGAGTGCTTATATTTCTATTACACTGAATGTCATTTTTGCAAGTTGCTTTGCCATTGTCTTTCTCCTCCCGTTTCCTCGGCACCAACACGGTCCACGGTTGATGGACCCCAACTTATACAGTAAGCACGCCTCTCGATGCGAGATGTTGTCGATAAACCAAGAAGACCAAGACTAATGGCTTGCAAAGCACCAGCGTTAGAAGCCATCGAGCAAGTCCCGTCCGTCTTCAAGCTGGCCTTTCTGGACGACCAAAGCCCCTACCAGGGATGGCCCGACGATGACAAGGACCAGTTGTGGCAAGGCATGTACAACAGTGAGTCCGAAGATGACAGTCCCGCCTGGAATGCTTCTTTACTGATGCATTTTTGCAGAAGGAATGGCTATTCGAATCGACGAGGAAGCTGCTGGCAGACTTGTCAACAAGACGGAGAAGATTCCACTGGTTGGCTGGGAGAATGACTACATGGTCGGCCTAGACGTCTTTCACCAGCTGCACTGTTTGGTAAGTTGTGTCTCAAGGGAGCAAGAAAGAGCAAATGGATATTTACAAATACCAGAACATGATTCGACAGTCCATGTATCCCAAGCGCTACAACTCGTCCATCATCCGTGACGACGGAACGGTTGACTTTTTGGCCTGGGCGCATATCGGTAGGTGATTCCCGCAAAGTTACTTTACGTCATCCTCGCCCATCTCAGAGGAAATACCTCGTTACTTGCTAAGAAATTTCCCCCAGACCACTGCATCGAGTCGCTCCGCCAGTCGCTCACCTGCTCCGCCGACGTCAGCGCCATTCCCTACCGCTGGCACCCGGAGCGCCGGATCGCCGAGCCCGACGTCCGCGGCGCGCACATCTGCCGCGACTTCTCCCGCATCCGCGACTGGGCCTTTGCGCGCTTCGTGCCGCTGCCGGGCAAGCGGCGGCACGTCGAGGACGGCGTCGTCGTGGACTACTCCGGAGCCGGGAGGGATCCGGAGGAGGTGCTGGCGGAGGCGCTGGCGAGGCCGGACGGCTGGGACAAGACGGTGGATGATTTGTAACGGGAGGTGAGGTACGAATTAGAGAAAAACCAGTACGGAGTAGGCCCGAATGTCTTGCATGTGGACTTGGAGGGACCGCGCCCGCTGTTCCTCTCTTTTGGAGCATCCTCCGGGTCCAGGATACGTTAGGCTGTTATGGAGGTAGAGCTTGACGGGGATAACGTGGTGAAATGAATGTGATTGTCTCGTTCTGAAATTCTCTATTGGACAAATTGTTTGTTCTTTGTTCTTTGTCCTCTGTTCTTTGTTCTTTGTTCTTTGGGCGCATGGGCTGCGCCCGGTGTGCTATGGCAGCCTATAGGTGAGTTGCGGCCAAAACTCGATTTGCATTCTTGTATCGAGGTTTACACTCTAGGCACACGCTAATAAGAGCGTACACAAGGGTACTCAATACAGTCATAATTAGAAGGTCACTCAGCCAATCAACTTGTAGACTTTTTTTTAACTACGAGGTAGCTATGTAGTCAGCCAGAAGTAGCTAGTTAACACTAATAAAGGGGTGTAAAGGTAACCACTTAAAATCCCTTATAGAAATACTATGCAACTAAAATAGATAAGACCACCTTTATAAGAATAGAAAAGTGCCTCTAACCCCACACGAGGGGTGAACTGAGTTTTGGCCGCAACTCACCCACCTATAGGCTGCTATACTGTGCAGGCATCTCGGGTGCATGGGCCATTCATTCCGCGGCTGAGCGTTTGATGTTTGTCTTTATTGTGGATTTGTTCATCTGTAATGCGAGGATTATCGAATTGCAGAATCTAGCCACCTTGTTCCTAGTCTTGAAAAAATGTCGAGTCTCACATATCAACCCGGTTGCCTGCAACGGCGGGCGTAAGCCATTGACGTAATTTCTCCTCGTATTTCTCTACGCAGCCCACGTCGAGTAGTTCTGCAGAGGCAAGGATATATACGCGGTACGCCCTGGTTGTATCTCCTCTCCCTTTTCAGCACGGCGCTCGGCAACGAGTCTCTCTTAGCTGAGCAACGCCAGTCATACACAGGGTAGATATCCCTGGGCCGGTGCCGCTACGGTCACTGGATGGCGACTCCCCCACGAGGCTGAATGCGTGTAGACGCTGGGTGGACGAATAGCTCCTGGCCGGCGCTCACGGCAACGCACATACCCGTATTGGGCACCAGAAGGACGCAAACACACCCTTCAATCAAGGGAAAGATTTGTGCAGCTGAAAAAGCAGACGAGTCTCCGCGTCATCGAGTTCGTGGTCGGTATCTGACGGCGAGGGACTTGGTAGAGTGTATCAGTACCCTGTAGTCGGCATGTCTCTTAAAGTCAAAAGATATGCAGGGATGTGGATAAGCTTACATTTTACTTGTTAATACCGGCGCCAAATGATAACAGAAAGGTGGAATCGAGCTGGATGGTCTTCAAGACAAGAATACAGACCGTAGGTCGGCATCGAAATTGATCGGGCACGGTTGCATTATCCCCCCCCCTGACTGACAACTGAACAAATATCTTGCACATCACTTTTTTCTAACAAAGAGTCAACTGACTCATCACTTTACGGGCCTACATGGACTCGCGACGGGAGGCTGCCTTGCTTGCTTCGGCCCCCCCGGGCCGTCCTGTATGGCACTGCGAGTGGTGGCGGTTTGAGGGGCTTTTCTCTTGTCTGTTCTTCTTCTTTCTTTTGCGATTGTGTGACGAGGTTGTAGTATCTCACAAAAGAGACCATGTAGAAGGATCGACGATCTGATAACCCGAGGTAAATATAGTCTGGTGACTCACCGCTCACTGGTATTTTGTCTTGGGTACTTTGGGGTACGTCTTGCAATTAACCGTGCAGAGACAAGCAAGCCTTCAGTCAAGTCAAGTCAAGTCTAGTCTGACGTATTCAATAAGCATAAAGCTAAACCCCTCTTTTCTCAACTTCCTATAATTATGGTCTGTTCTTCCTGCCCAACGGCCACCCGCAGATGGGTAGCCGCACTGTAGCCCGCCGCCACCGCATGACAACCAAGGCAGGACAGGGGAATTACAGGATTTTCTGCATTTTCAGCCCCTTGTCACTTGCTGTGGCGCAGAGTAGAGCCTTCTTACAGAGATGAATTGATTGCTACGAATTAGTTTGTTCCCCTTTATCAGCACATCATGTTGCCGTCGCGCCGGCTCCTAGTTGGGCAATCATCGTCACTTCCCCCCCTGTCGTGGCTTTCCTGAGGAGAAAAGAGATAATTTCCTGCATACATGTCAGTTAAGGATACGATTCAGAGTCAAATAATTAGCCATGCTGTGCAACATGATAGCTCTCGCAAGGGCCGGAACTGTACCGGCCTATTCGTTCCGGCGAACCTTCTCTCGAGAGATACGTGCAGATCCCCCAACGTGGACGCCTTTTTACTTTCATCTGCATAATGTCGACGGAGTATGCGGCAAATACTTCGCTTGGCCGCCATCCTGACCCACCCCCTGGTTATCCTTCGACAGGTCGACTGAATCCTGGAGCCTCCATGCATGTAAGTAAGCCACCGGCCGGGCTCTTGGGGGCTAGGGAAGCCGCAGCCTCGTGTGGTGGGGGAGGGGTGAGAAGCGCATCACCGTCTTGGATGAGACAGTGAGAGGCAAGCAAGAGAAAGCCTGCATACCTACTATGCACTTGGCCTCGTGGAGATGCGGCTATGACGGCTTCAGTCGAGACACTGCTCGTCAACTCCGAAGAGGAGGACGATAAAAGGCTGAGATGTCCTGCGGTGAGAGTCAATTCTATCCGTCATGAAGCTCAATAAGACCATCTTGTTATACACTACTTGCATTCCTCCAAGAACAGTGTCTTCATCGTTATTCCTTTCCATATTCATACACCTTTCTCAAACATGATGGATTTTCGTCTTGAGCAGCTAAACTCTGGCGCTGACGGCGCTCATGTCCTCGTCTCATGGCTTGGCATGCGCTTCTCCGTGTCCATCGACGTCGACTCCCCAGCCTCCCCCCCCTCCTCCTCCCCCACGCCCTCGCAGCGTCTATACCACCTCATCCGGCGACTGCAGGACGATGCCCTCACCGACGACGACTACGACACCGCATCCCAGGCCCTCTTCTCGCAGATCCTCGCCGCCGGCGAGCCCCTCCTCCGCAGCATCGCCCGCGACCGTCGCCCCGCCTCCTCGCGTCTCGCCGACCACCTCTTCCCGCCCATTCCCCTGCTGCGGCTCGGCTCCTCCTCCTCCTCCGCGCTGGAAGTCACCCCATCCGCCAACGCGTATTTCCCCTCCCCCCTCCGGCACGCCCACCCCGGCGCCCACGACCTGCCCTTCGCCGTCGACCCGTCCCTGCCCGCCTACCGCGTCGACCAGGTCCTCGTCCTCGAATCCCTCGTGCACGATCCCCTCGCCGAGCACCTCGCCTGCCGCGTCCTCCTCCTCCCCTCCCCCGGTGAGCAGCTCTTCTGCAAGGCCGAGCGCGGCGGCATCGCCTTTGGCGACTCCGTCGTCGGCCGCGACTTTCGCACCATGCTCGACCTCCGCGCCGCCCTCCTCCGAGAAGCCCCCGCCACGGGTGGTGAGATTCGCGTGCCGGCGCTGCGCGGCGTCCTCAGACACCCCGAGGAGGGCCACGTGGTCGGCTTCCTCCGCGACTGGGTGCCCGGCGCGAGCCTCGCGGCGCGCGAGATGGCGGCGGTGCCGGCGGCGCGGCGAGCGAGGTGGGACGCGCAGGTGGCGAGCACGCTCAAGGGGCTGCACAGGCTGGGGTGTTTTTGGGGCGCAGCGGACAAGAGGAGCGTCATCGTGGACGAGCGCGGCGAGGATGCCTGGGTGGTGGACTTTGGGGGCAAGGTGAACCTGGGGCTGGCGCGCGAGGTGGGCGACAGGGAGGAGGGCGACTGGATCGATTATGATGAGGTGTGTCGGTACCTGGGGACGGGTGATGAGGAGGAAGGCAAGGAGGAGGGAGGGTCGGATCACGGCTCGGGGGATGGAAAGGGAGGCTGGTATGCATGCTGAGGAGTAGGAGCATCGCTAGAAAGACGAGACGAAGAATACGCTGTAGGTATTAATAGATTGTTGGCCTAAAGTAATATAGTAAATCAGCGTCCCCTACCGTTCAACCCTGTACTCTAGTTGTAACTTATATCCAAACAAAAAACGCCTGTAAATGCTTACTACATTCAGAGAAAAATTCGACAACTCCTCAAACAGCATCATGCCCCTTTGGCTGCGAAGGCTCCATCAACTCGAGCTGTGCAAAGTTATGGCGCTTCTTGATGCCATCCAAGACATTCCTCGTTGGATAGTCGCTCGTCATGCTGTCGTGGTCGCAGCAGGGCGAGTGTCTGATGGGGAGCAGCCACTCCCAGGGTGAGCGGCCCATGACCGAGGTCCAGTTGCGACGGGGGCCCAGATCCCACGGGTTCTCGCGGGCCTCGACGCGCAAGATGGCAAACTTGCGCCGGGCTCGGACGTCGCGATCTGCTGCGGCGAGGACCGAGGTACCATTATTGAGGATCGACTCGCCCGGGTTCGCAGGGGGTGGTGGCGGCGGCGTGCCGACGACGCCGAGCGGCTGCGGCGGGACGGGCGGCTGCTGAAGAGGATAGGTAACCGTCGGGTAGGACTGCGACGGGGGCGCGTCGAGCGGCACGCGGACGGCGAGGTAGGAGATGCGCGAGCGCGAAAACATGTCAATGTTGGTCATGTTGGTGAGGATGTAGCGCAGCGAGGTCAGCGCCATGCCGCCGCTGAAGAGTAGGAAGAAGGCCGAGAGCACCAGGCCCGCGACGACCCAGCCGTCGGGCGTCGGGCGCTCGCGCGACTGCTGGCTGACGGTGTAGCCGGTGAGTGCGAGGGTGATGGAGCAGTAGAGGGCGCAGTAAAAGGTGAATTGGGCGAAGAAGTTGAACGCTGGAGGGTGTCCGCTGTCAGTACGCGGCTTGCTGTCGTGCGTGCGTTCTGGTTGTTTCACTCACACGTCTCTGATACCATCCCCCCGACCCAGGGACACAGATGGTCCATCTTTCGCACGCAGCGCCCCAGCTCGCTCGAGTGGTGCGCGCGGTCCGGCTTCCACTGGCGACACCCGGAGCACCACTTGGGCCGGCCGTCCGCCTCGCAGACGAAGACGTCCTTGCTGTAGAACGCCTCCAGCCCGGGACTGTCCGGGCTCGTGTCGACCGGCGCCCACGTCGCCTGCTGCGCTTCCGCATCAGGTTCCTCTGGCTCACCGCCGCGTCTCCTTCTTCGTCTTCGTCTCGGTGGGGGTGGTTGCTTCTCGTTGAGGTCTTCGGCGGTTTGGCCGTTGATGAGCGGCACCAGGCCAGGGTCCCGGATGACGGCGACGAAGGTTCGGAGGTACGCGGCGAGCATGAGGAAGAAGATGACAAAGTACAGGACAATCATGCCGGCGGCGAAGCCGGTCCGACGGCGCTGCCTGATGTAGTACTGCACTGTACGTGGCGGCGGCCCTGGTCAGTAAAGAAAAACAAAGAAAGGTCCCGGGGCGACTGGTTGGCGAGACGGGGGCAACGCACCGCAGATGTGGCCGACGTAGATGTAGGTGGCGACGACAAAGGCACACAGGATGAAGATTGGAATCAGGCGAATGGCCAGGCGAGTCGAGACTCGGTTGCTCGCCGCGGAAGCCATGACGGCATCAGTCCGTCGCGGGAGGCTCGTCGGCGGCTAGGCTGTCGTCGGGGATTGGGCGCACAGAACTGGTGGCCTAGATTCAATAATCCTACAATGGCAAGCGAATGCTCTGCACGAGATGCGCAGGATGCGCTGTCCTCGGACGAAAATGCTGCTGTTGATGAAGGTGGCTGAGTCGAGTTGGGCGGCTGTGCTCCCTCTGATTAAAGTCAAGGCACTACAAAATGAGCTACAGTACAAAATACGTCAGTGGCACATTGTTAGGCGCGTCACTGTGGACCGATCGCACGCTGCCCCAGGTTTTGCCGCTCAACGCTTGATAGAGAGTGTATTGTAGGTGTTTGTCTATTTGATGGTTTCTCCCGTAGAGGAAGTATTTCACAATTGTTTCTCGTTTTCGTCAATTAGCTACGTTCGTTGTTGTGCGCCCTCCCAGGTGCGCTTCAGCTTCGGCTAGAACAAGGACGCCGGTGTAAGTCATTCATTCCATGTGCCTCTTTCATCAGATTGGTTAGTCTGTCTTTAATAGAAAAATAAGGAAAAAATAAGGGACAGAAAAGAAAATATTGCTATATTTTTCTTTAAAAAAATTTATGATGCTCTTCAGTTCTGGAAATCTTATACAGACTCCTAGTGTAACGTGTACTGTTGCTCATCATAGCTCTACGATGTAGTTGGGCGTATAATCGAGATCAGGTGGACAGTAAACTTGGCGGTCTCTTTCATCGTTTGTTTCAAGCCTGAACGCTCATTTGCGATTAGTTTAGTTGAACCCAGAATCGGCTATTTGTCAGTCACAGCGGCGACCCTGGCTTTGCATCTACATAATCACAGCCCAAGACAGCAAACTCATGCAATGCCAGTACCCGTCTTCACACCACCTTTGTCATCAACACGCCGTCCATAGCCAGTCTTGCTAGATCTTGCTTGGCACCCGATTCGAATCCGCCCTCATCTTAGTCTGAATCGCCCTGTGCCTGTCCCGTGGCGCGTGACACCTAACAACACTGCGGGCAGCCAGAGTCTCGATGAAGCGAGAGCCGCTCCGAGTTCTTGCCAAGGCTGGAGTCTGAGCTTCTAGCGAACGCTTCTATGGAGGTTCATATTTGTATTTCCGGGAAAGTCGAGGTCATTTCTATCCATCACGGGGTCTACCACTAAACCCCTCCTCCTCCAGAACAACCGTGATACTGCACAGAAGTCGGGCGACTTGCAAGCCGCATGTAAGCGTCATCTTCTGGAACTGGCATTGTCGCCCGCATGACCAGCTACCAGCGGACATATTCAAGGCCGTAGAGAACATATATGGCTTCGCTGGTGTGCTGGATGTGCCGGCAAAGAGAAAACGAACAGAGAAAACACAGCCACATCCGTCTTTTATCGGACTGTGCCACATCAGATCGCACACATAGTGGTGCCCTGTCTGCATGATCCCACTATCTCTCTTGTCTTGTCTCGCAATTGCTTGGCTTGTGTGGCATTTTGGAAGGAAGCTAGAATTTAGCAAGAGAGACAAACAAAGTCTGCAGCTAGTAATTCTGTTTATGATTATCTGTCATCTCTTTGGTAGTCACATGGAAGGAAAGAAGACGGTCAAGAGTTCCTTTGTATTTGTGCAGCCAACAAGATCATCTCATCGGACCGCCTACATGCAAAAAGCGACACATCAGAAACCCCTCTTCTTCTTCTTCTCTGTCCCGGATTCTCGGGTACGGATACGCTGTTGTCTCTTCTCACCGCCACCCGCTCAGCACACATACACCCAAGTTGTCAGTCATCTCGTGCGGGTGTGCAGAGACAGAGAGACAGAGAGACAGAGAGACAGAGAGACAGAGAGACAGATCAGGCTGGCACATTGTTCCAGCATCTCCTCCCCCTCCTCCCTCTCCGGCAGCCTATTTCGGGCACGGAATTGAAAATGCAAGCCACCTCTTTTGCAGTCTTTCGCGCTCCATCCTTGACGCACCTCGCTCCTTTGGGCAGTCGTATTCCGCCGCTGCCGGTCTCTTCACAAATCTCGACTGCGAGTTGCTTGCTATATCTACGCGTATTGTTCCCTCTTTACTCTTCTCCTTCTTCTCCTCATCACCTGTTGTCTTCTGCCCTTTGCCTTCACATCAACTTCACTTCACCTCTGAGTCTCTCCTTCACGTTCCAGAGCTCTGCAATCCCACTCCTCCACTTCTCTTCCTGAAATCTTCTGGTCTCCTTCTTCCCATCTACATGCCTCTTCTTTTCATCCACCACCACCCTCCTTCTCTTTTCCCTGCGCAACATGCCTCCTCGATCCCCCGATAACCCGTTTCAGGACCTCTTCCTATCCACCACTAGTCCGTCCACTCCTCCTCCCGCTCCCGCTCCCTCCACCACCACCACCGCAAGCGACCACCTAGACGACCAGTCGCTCCCGCCGGGAACCATGGTGCGGTACCTCTGGACCTGCCACCTCTGCGGCTACGGTAGCTTCCGCTGCGACTCGTCTTCGACGGCCCTGTGCGTGCAGTGCGCGCACGCAGTCTGCGACGGCTGCACCGCCTTCTTCGGCGCCCGCCTGCTGGAATGCGTGGACGCGGAGAACCTGCCCGGCCACGCCGCCCCCCCCAACAACCCCCTACCTTCAATCGCCCAAACAAGCTTGCCTAACCTCGAGACATCAGTGCAGCTGTGACCGCCCCTCCCAGATGAGCCGCTGTCGCAGCCACAACCCCGTCCGTCGGTGCCGCGCCGCCTCAGGCCTTCGCCGGCTACGCCACGAACCCTATGCCCGCCCGACACACGTCCAGCACTGCGTGGTGACCTTTCGCCCCGGCCGCGACGGTCGGCCCGCCCTCGGCACCTTCTTTTACACGCGACCTCGCTTCGAGCGGCCATCCTTGCCGTTCTCAACCCCGTCCTCGCCGTTGTCCCGCCCCGACCAGACCCGCGACTGCATCGCCCGTTCCGTCGCCCGCGCCTCCGGTCCGGCCACCATCGTCATCCCGCCCATCCACGAGATCAGGCCGCGTGACGACGGCACGGCGCCGGCCGGCGTCCCCGTGTGCACCGTGCCACTGGCGCGCTTCTTCGCGGCCGGCGCGCCCAGCGTCGCCCGCGCCCTCGGTCTCGGTCGCCAGCCGGTCATCTGCGTGCGCGTCGACCCGGTGCTCGCGTTCGTCGCATATTACCTGTGCGCCAGCTTCTACGCCGCTCTCGCGGTCTGGGAGGGTGGGAGGGGAGCGGCCACGCGCCAGCCGTCTCGGGCGGCGCCGGAGTGAAGACAAAGCAGCGGTGTTCCTTCCACCATATCAAGGGTTGCTTGCCACTGACGCTGTTGAGTTTTGCCTCTCACAGACACACATGTTGAAAGCAAGACGGCCCCTGAAACGGGATCTGTCAGGAAATACCGCCCACGAATCTTGATTTCTGCGCAAAATGCTTGGGGCATTTTGCCTGTGAATGCAATGAATTTGTGCTTTGCATACTCCCTCTCCTATGAATGCAATGGCTTTACGAGACCCTCGAGCGTACAAAACGAAATTGGCCTTCTATACCTGTCAAGATGTTCGGAGCATTTTGCTTGCTGATGTTGCATGACTGTCTGCTTTTTTTGTTAAAGTTTATGAAACGATCTTTATGCGGGAACCGAGTGTGCTGTATGTGCAGGCTACAGAACTTGTGCTCATCTCAGATATGCTACTGAATAGATGCTCATTTGCGCACAATTTCTATCATCTCCATTGTCATTTGTCTTGTTTCCTCTTGATGCTGGTAGTTGTCTCCGCCACATGCTGTGTAGCCACTGCAGAGAGAGCTTATTACGCCTTCATGCTACTCTTATTGAGCCCCTCCCCTTGAGGGTGCTCCGTCGTCAGTTGTCAACCTTTCGGGCTCGGATGCTGCACCTGTAACCGTACAACAAGACAGCGCGTGTCTTGTATGCGTCGACAGGAGCACCGTCGGATGATGTTGTTCCCGAGTCCCCAACCAACATCCGCCGGAAGAAGCAAAATTATGATGCTATGCTGTACGAGGAAACCCGACCCGAGGGGACGCACGCACGCAACAACCCAAGACATTGAAACAAGCCGTCCCTTGATGTCCGGCTCAATCACCCAGCTAGGCTACCTGTGCATGTGCATGCCTCATCACATTGTTATCCCACTTCTCTGCATGTCTCCATCACATACGGAGGTCGCTTTCAAAAGTCGCGTCTGGCGCTAGAAGCAAGGATTTACTAGGATCCCCAGAGGGTACATTAAAATACTCTGTCTCTATACAGGGGCGCGCTGATTCTATATGGGGGAGCGCTGAAGTCATCACATACTGACCCGGCTGTTGTACCTATCCACGAGCGATCTATGATTGCCTTTAAGACATATGTATCTTATGTACCTGCCTTGCAAGTATTCTTGTTGAATCCCTGTTTCTAGAAAAGCCGCAGACACGACTTTGGAAAGCGACATTCGTACACACACATACACACACACACACACTCACACACTCACACACTCACACACACACACACACACACACACATACACACATACACACACACCCCTGTGCCGTCGTTGTTCAGAAATGTGATATTTCACACCGCATCAGCGCAGAATTCCGCGCGCTGTCTCTTGATTCTTCAGCAAAGTCCTCAAGCCCTGGTCGGGGTAGTTCCCGCAACGTCTCTCTCTCTCTTCCACGTCGCCTTCGGCTCTACCAATCCTCCGTCCAATATGATTCAAGGCCCAGATCCTGCCACCGTCCCAAAAGATGTGGCAATATGTGTCCATCCGCGTGCATGTATCGTTGCCCCCCTCCCCCCGCGGCGCAATCCCCCTCTCCACGGAGCTGAGTCTCCCCCCGGTCTGCGCGAAGCATGCGGATAACGCACCTTGGCCTTTGATTCCATCGAAGCCTCGACCCTCTCTCTTCTCCCGCCCGTCCTCGCCTACACATATGCATGAGTATATTATCAGTCCTGCAACTCTGTGTTGTCTCACAGCTTCGAGCGTGGCGGGATACCAAAAAAAAAAAAAAAAAAACG